TGTGAGTCCAACAGCTATGCGGCTTCTAATCTCACAGCAGACAACAGATATCTTATGGACCAAATCTTTGATCAACAGGGCCAAATTAGATGCTGGTGAACAATACCAGTGAGGGAACAAATAATAATCTTGGTGAAAGCTTGGATAATAAGGATAACTCAGTAAATTTGGAAACTATTTTATAGATTATAGACAGAGTCAGGCAAAAGACAAGTTATCCCTTAAATTATTCCAACAAGGATTCATTCAAACAATAATAACTTTGGGAGGACATTCATCTTTACCAAGGCTACTTTACTAAGGCAAGAAATTTCATATTTGTTCCATTCCCCCAAGTCTTTTACTATTCCACATTGGAGGGTAATTTGCCATAAAAAGATGTTTGTGTGCTATTTTGTGTTCTAATCAGAAGGCATTGTGATGCTGTGATGCTTCCTGGGGCACCTAGGGTTATCAAGCACTTCCCTACCACCCACTCAGGGGTTGGATTGTGCCTATCACTAACCTAGAGAGAGAGAGGGAGAGAGCGTGGCCTGCACAGGCCTGGAAGGCCATGTCTGTGTTGCCTATGGCCAGTGGGGTTGGGGACCTGGCACATTATAAAGCTGACCCCCATAACCAAGGCTTCCTCACTCTGCGGGCAGGTGGTAGTGAGGTGCCTCACAACCCTGGGTGCCCCCAGGAAGTATCACAGATGCCTTTTACCAAAGGCCTGTTTTCATATTACTACAAATGGTTCCACTGCCAAAGAAAACAACGGGGGGAATAATGGGCAACACTGCATCATACCCCTAGACAATTTAGGCCACAAAAAATAAAAAATCACCCTTTTATCCAGACCAATTTTGAACAAATTTTTTTAAATTCCTGTCACTGAGGCCCTCTCCATTTGCAACATTCATTAATAATCAGGAATTTATCCCTAGGAAATATCAAAGTGACTATTCATTGTGGGTAAGAGCTGAAAGTGCTCAGTTCCGCAGTTGTTCCTATGTCCTGATTGGAAATCATACCAACAGATATGTAATAATATACGTAATATAAAAATCCTGTATTTTCAATATTTACAAAGGCAAACATTTTCTCGTGAGATCTGGGTACAAGGCAGCTCTATCTAGCCTTTAACCACTTTTGGTCTAGGTCTCGAAAGCTGGAACAAAAGGTACAATTTCTAAGATATATATAATTGGATTAAAAAAAAAGTCGATAACAACCCAGATGAAAAGATGGGAGAGGGAGTTAGACAAAGAAATGGATCTACTGGGTCTCTATAAGGAAAAGGGGACTACATCTTCAATTTGTGTAGCTCATACAAATTTTTTTATAAATTACTGTATAGATGGCATTAGAAAAAAAAAGAACTAGATAAGTTCATGGAGTATAGATCCATCAATGACTAATAGCCAGTATGGGCAGGGATGGTATCCCTAGCCTCTGTTTGCCAGAAGCTGGGACTGGGTGACAAGGGATGGATCACTTGACAATTACCTGTTCTGTTCATTCCCTCTGGGGCACCTGGCATTGGCTACAGTCAGAAGATAGGATACTGGCTTAGATGGACCTTTGATCTGACCCAGTATGGCTGTTCTTATGTTCTTAGACTATAGTTAAGATCCATCATATTTTTGCTACTATGTAAGCGCACTGTTAGAGGGGTTGCTGAGAAAGGGGAACATACTTGTACATGTGGTGGTTGTTTCCTGGAATTAGATGGTTTGGGGAGGAAACAATTAAAGAGATTAATTTTATGACAAAATGCTGGCTTCCTAGAGATCCCCTGTCCTGCCTACTTATTGCTCCAGGAAAGGATCTACATTTTCAACAGAACGACAAATTAATTTCTTTATTACTGCACATTATTGGAAAAAATTGACTCCTCCTCCTATGGAAATGTAGTTTAGTAAAATATGGACTATCCTTGTAATGGAAAGGCTTTAGCCACAAATACATACAGAAGAGAAGTGCCAAAAAGAGGATAGGTATTTAGACATTTCATCCTTTTTAGTGTACGTAAAGGAGAAGGGCTCCCCAGCCAGCAAGCCAGAATCTTTAGCCAGGTTCTTTGACTACTCACCTGAACCTGAATAAGTAATGTACAATGTAGCATGTTAACCTTTTTTTGTAACTTTGCCTTAATAAAAAGTTTTTTAAAAATCCAAATGTTCTATTCACTCTGATGAAACTCCATTTTGAGATCTTATATCCATGACCTGAAAGGCTAGACGCTTGACTCTGTATCATCTGGACTGAGCAGACAAGGAAGGAAAAGAAATACCAGCTGCATACAGTTTATACACAGTTCATCAGGTAGCAAAGGCTAAAGCTATGCCACCCTGTTCTGGGCTTTTATTTGCTTCACAGATCCAAAAGGGTAGAAGAATTCAGAACAAACTTTATTCTGAAGCAACAGAGAATAGAAGTAAGTGAAGTGGAGATTGGGAGAATCTGTTTCCTCTGAGGTGATGCTAAACTGGCTGTAACTTGCTATAAGTGTAGTTTGACAAAAAAGCAAGAATCATGCCATAGTGTAGTGATGGTAACAAATATGAGGGAAGAGAATCTCTACAGCACTGCAAAACTATGACTTGGTAAGGCCCGTTCAAAGATGGTTTATCAGCCTAAAACTCAGTAATTCCTTGTTTTGTGGATTAAAGTTGGATCCTCAACATCATTTAAATGCGTTTGTGTGTAAATTCATTCACGTATGTTTTTAATAAACTTGCAAAGCTTGTGGTAAGGACTAATGAAGAAAAGGATGTCGCTAGGTTTTAAAAATTAAAGGATAAAACAATTCTCAAACTTCATGAAACACTGAGAATTAAATCCTCTTTTTTACTGATGCCTGTGCTGGTTTTTACCTGCTGGGAAAAAATTAACATTGCATCAGATACAAGCTTCTCTTTTAGGCCCTCCACAATTTAGCCCTTTCTGTTTGTCCACTCTGTTATCTCAACATGTCATAGACTGCTGCCTTCAATCTGCCAGCAATGCCAATCTTCTCCATCAATTAGTTCTGCCTCTTCAACAAACACCTCCATGCTTCCCCCCTTGCACCTCATATGCTTAAGCCTTTAGGCAATATTGTAATACATAATAAATAATATCTGCAACTCAAACACTGTATCCATGGCAACCTGCAGTTGAACTTAGGACTCTATGACCCTGCAAAGGCAAATATTTTACTGTTTTTTTTACTGTGTTTATGTATTAATGGTTTAGAATAGGAGGAATGACACCTGAGATGGGCATTTCCTGGGATGGGTCCTCTGCAAAACCTCCAGCCAGTTATTAACTGCCAGGAGATGCTTGACCTATGGGTCATTACTGCAGAGGCAAATGTCAAAAGAAAAAACATCAACATTCACAGTGATAAGGGGCACTTACATATACAACACACATTGGCGGTGCTGTCAGGCTGTGCCAATATGAGTGAGAGTTCAAAAAAATTATGTCAGATTATAAATATTTCAGCAGTAAGACCTGCTAAAATGTATTTGCAGCACCAGGCAATGCTGTAAGTATAAACAGTCTGGGTGACAATGAGATTCAGTGAATAGGGAACTGGTCTGGATGTCAGGATAGCTGGAATCCTTGCCTACATTTACTATTGACTCGTTGTTCACCTTGGCAAGCCTTAACCTGTCTGTGCCTCACTTTCCTCTGATGTCCAATGAGGATAATGATACGTGTTCTCTTTTGTAAGGAGCACTTTGAGCTCCCCAGATGAAAAGTGCTAGGTGCTATTAATCTAACATGAAAATGATCACTAACCCCATTCAAAGTTTCTCCGGTCTGCACTGATCTAATGATTTCCATCTCTATCTAAAATTTGATCCATTGTTATTTAGTTTAAAGTTAGAAGAAAATGTCTTAACTGCTTTATAGTAAGACTCCTCAACCACAGCTTGGTATCTATGGGTATGTCTACACAGGGATAAAAATACTGCGGCTGGCCTGGGTCAGCTTACTTGGGCTCATGTAGGTCAGGCTCTTGGGCTGAAAAATTGCTGCATAGATGTTTGGTCTAGGGCTGCAGCCTGAGCTCTGGGACTTGCAAAGTTGGAGTCAGCTAACTCCATGTCTTGGGTCTTTTATCCTCATGCAGACGTACTCCAAGAGGCCAGTGTTTTCCTCCATAGGGTGTGGTGCATCAGCAGATGTTGACCTTTTAGTGTCAGCCACTGCATATTGAATAAGAATGTAAGAATGGCCACACATGTCAGACCAATGGTCGATCTAGCCCAGTAGCCTGTTTCTGTCAGTGGCCATATGCCAGGTGCTTCTGGCAGTTGGAGGTTAGGGGCACCCGCAACATGGGGTTGTGTCCCTGACCATCCTGGGTAATAGCCATTGATGGCTCTGTCCTCTGTGAATTTATATATTTCTTTGGATCCCAGTTATACTTTTGGCCTTCACAACATCCCCTGGCAACCAGCTCACAGGCTGACTATGCATTGTGTGAAGAAGTACCTTTTAATGTTTGTTTTAAACCTGCTGCCTATTAATTTCATTAGCTGACCCCTGGTTCTTTGGTTATGTGAAGGGATAAATAACACTTCCTTATTCACTATCTCCACATCATTTATCATTTTAAAAACCCCTCTCATATCCCCCTTAGTTTCCGCTTTTCTAAGCTGAACAGTCCCAGTCCTTTTAATCTCTCCTCCTATGGAAACTCTTACATACCCCTAATCATTTTTGTTGCCTTTCTCTGCAGTTTTTCTAATTCTAATATATCTTTCTGAGATGGGGCAACCAGAACTGTATTGGAGGTGTGGGCGTACCATGGATTTCCATCGTGGCATTATGATATTTGCTGTCACGTTATCTACCCCTTTCCTAATGGTTCTTAACACTGTTCGCTTTTGGTGAGTGGTGTTTTCAGAGCCCTATCCCGGATGCCTCCACCATGCCGCTCACCTGGAGATCGGCTGAAGGATGAGCCTTTTCAAGCCAGGCCTCACCCCTACTCACCATCCTTGCACGGGCGCTGAGATGCACCCTAGCGCCTACCTACCCCGCAGGGCTCGGCGGCGGCTCAGAGCAGGGAGCCTGCAGGGACCGCGCCCGGGGTTGAAGTACTTTCCCGTGCAGTGGCGGGGCTAGGGAGGAGGCGGCCGAGCCGAGAGCAAAGCGCAGGGCACCGGCGGGCCGTTGAGTCTCAGCAACGCGCTGGGCAGCTCACAACACGGGAGCCCGGGGCACGGGACGGGACTGGACGGTCCCTGTGCGAGCAGCGCCAGGAAGAGGCGAAGGAACCCGGGCTCCGCCAGCGCTGCCTGCCCGCAGCGGGAGGCCCCGGAGGGAGCAGCCGCCCCCGGGCCCCGGCGGAGCCATGGAGCCTGCCGAGGGGGAGAGCAGCGGGCAGGTGCACACGTGCCAGACCATCTTCCCCGCGCACGCCACGCACCGCGGGGAGCTCAGCGCCGGCCAGCTCCTCAAGTGGATCGACGCCACCGCCTGCCTGGCAGGTAAGGCGCCGGCGCGCGGGCAGCCCGCGCTCAGCGCCGCGCTGCCGCCTGGCCTGGGAAGCCCTCCAGCGGCCCGGCAGCATCCCGCTCCCCGGGGAGCGCTCTGCCGCTTCCAGCGGGCCTCCCGCGGCCACGGAGCCGGACAGCGGGGCTGAACGTTGGCTGCAGGGGGAAACTGAGGCACGGAGGGAAACTCTGGAATGGGTTACCGAGGGAGGTGGTGGAATCTCCTTCCTTAGAGGTTTTTAAGGCCCGGCTTGACAAAGCCCTGGTTGGGATGATTTAGTTGGGGTTGGTCCTGCTTTGAGCAGGGGGTTGGACTAGATGAGCTCCTGAGGTCCCTGCTAACCCTGATATTCTATGACTCCAGGGGGAAGGGACCTTCCCAAGGCAAATCAGGGGGAGGAGCTGGCAAGGGACCCAGGAGTCCTGACTTCTAGCTCCTCCCTCTTCTAATCACTCAAGCACAGTCCCTCCAGCGCAGGATGACACTCATCAGAGATGGGGACTCCAGTGTCTGCTGGGCTTGGCCCTGCCTGGGAGCTGAAAGGGACGTGGCCTGCCAGGGGCTCTTGTTAAACCAGCAAGAGGAGCTAGTTTGGCTTCCCTGGAGCCTGTTGTCCAGCCAGGCTGCAGCCTCCTCCCCCTCCAGAGGTAATGGCTCAGACTGGAGCGCCCAGCCATGGGGCTGGAGAGCATTGTTGTTGCTGTGAAGGAAGGAGCCCATCCTTTGGATTCGTAGCCACTTATACTTGGAGTTCCTATGCTGGAAACTAGTTCATCCAGTTCAGTATCTTGCCTCTGGCAGTGGGTGACCTACACTTGATGGTTCAGAAGGTGTTTGTGTGCGGCAGTGGGGATATGTTGCATTAGGCCAATTACACACAGCTATATTATTGGAAGGGACAGAGACAATTCCTAAATTGTTCCCATTAAGTGACTATTTTAGGACCTGGAGCTTGAGGACTGAGAGCCATTGTAACTATATGAACTAGCTATTCCAGCTGCAAAAGTTCTGGTTGTTCATATAAATATTGAATTCTTTAAAAATTCTTACAGAACTCTTCATCTCAGCAATTCCCGGGAGCCATACATTCCTCAAGTGAATTGTAATTTGCTTGGAAAAAAGTATTTCTTCTCACCCATTTTTAAAATTATAGCCTTTTAATTTCACAATGTCCCACTGCTTCTTTTATTATGGGAAAGGAGCAGAATGAAAATTGTTCAATTAAACCATAGAATGAGACGTGGAATAGAGGTTTAGATCATGTAAGATTTTCCCATCAGTACATTTGATAGTGTTTTGTCCACTTCACATTTAAAAGTTCAAAAGCACTGGGCTTCCACCACTTCCCTTGGAACTCTATTTCACATAGTAAGGAGCTCATTATAGATGCTGTGTTTACAGGTATTTTTATTTTCTTTTAATTGCATGATATCAAATTACTGCCCTTGTACATAATTTGCTAAATCCTGGTGGATATGTTCCGGATCTGCCAATTCTCTCTCTTTCAAGGGCGGCTCCAGCCAACATCTGAAGACCCTCTCTTGCCCTCCCTCTTTACTAGGCGATCTTGTGCAACTTGTGACTGAGTGGCAATGTAATGCCAGAAAGGCTTACAAGAAATGTCAGCCCACTACAGACTACTGAAAGAAGTCCAGGAGGAAAATTCACTCATGCTAGCAATTAGGAATGGATTACTCAACTAAAATAACCCCTACGGATTCCATTACCCCTTAAAATGAAACTGTGTTTGATGTCATGGAGCAGTAATGAGAGAGGGAAAATCCTGGGATCAAAAGAAAGTAACAACTTGGGGAAAGGGACATATAGGTGAGAGAGAAAAGGGGAAGGAGAGGAGGATTACAATGTGATGAGTAGGTAGAGGATTCTGGAAAAGGTGAAGAGAAGAGGGCAACAGTAGAGAGAAAAGGATGAAGGAAATAGACGAGAAAAAAATGGGAAGAAAGGAGACAAAAGCACTAGTGGAGTACAGTCAAAACTGAGAGACAGAGAAAACCCGTTTGCCAGGAACTCTGCCTACATATAATATGATAAGTGCTGCCTTCAGAAATGCCATAGATAGGTTAAGATTGTCAAGGGTATTACAGAAAAATGAAGGGGTCCCATTTAAGTAGAAAAAGGGGAAGAACAAGTGGAAAGATGTGAGACAATGACAAATGAGATCAGAAGGTTCTGTTTCTGTCTTTCCAACTTTAAATGCATTGATTTCCATTTGGTACAGAGTTTCCCATACTCAAACTACAGTATACAGAATATGTGTGTATATACAGTATGCCAATGCATGTTTATCAATTTAGCTGTTTTTAAACTGCAATGCTACATTTAAAATTTTAAGCAAATTCAACTCTTTGCCATCTCTGCTCTCCATGAACTTCATTTACAGGTGCCACTCCATATATTAGCAAATAGTCTATAATAAGCGTTGAGGAGATTAGCAGATATCTTGTGTCTGAATAGCATCTCCATACACTGTAGTATTACCACTGTGTAGATATTTGCAACTTTTAGTGATTTAACAGCTTTATTTATTCTACTATTTATATATAGAAAGATATGAGGGTGCTGGAGAATTTGTCCTGCATAGTAATCTGGTATGTAGCTGTTTGCTCTAGGTATGTAGCTATTTGCTATTCATAAACATGCTTTTTACTTCTTCTAAAAAAATAGTCATTCAGGGCTGTGTATTCTACCCTTATACCTGGTGTATCAAGTACTACTTATTTTAACAGGCAGAAGCCTAATCTAAGAAGGCCTGTTAGATTAATTCCTACTTTGAATTGTCAGGTCCTCAACTGATATAATTTATCATATGATATATCAATTTACATCAGCTGAGGATCTGCCCCTGTATTTCACTTTTTTCCCCTTTTTGTTGTCCCTATTAGTGACACTTACTGGAAAACTGTTCATTAATATCACAGAAGCAATCCCACTATACACACAAATTATTAATTTATATAATGGAGAAAGATTTCAAGTTCTAATGCTCTAAGAGCAAAGGAGGTTGTTTTCCTTCTGAAAACTAGCCTTCCTCATTAAAATATTAATATTATTATTTATGATTTTAACAACCAGAAGTTCACAGACAAATATGTCACTATTTAAATATCAAACAAAACTCACACAAATGAAAATAACAAACAGTTGTGGGACTAAAGGAAGGAAGAACAAATGTTAAAAGTATAAGATCACATGATTACATAGGTTTGTCATGTACTTGTCTTGATATTACCATGAGCGATATCTGTATACCGACATACACTTTTCTGAGGGAGGGAATCGGTAAGTTGGAACAGGGGTGATAGGAGAATGGAGTCCTTCAAGCAGTAATATAGAATTAACCCAGTCCTTCAGTCCCGACCCAGACAAAAATCACAATCACTTTGGATTAAATTTACCCCTGCAAAGAGGACTCACTAAGCCAATAACACTTGGCTTAAGTAATGCATAGGGCCCTCTGCAGGCCCTGGGTGGCAGTGAATATCAATGGAAGTTTTGCCACTGAATAAGGACTACAGATTTGGTTTCTTAAAAATCAAAAAAAACTCAAGAATGTTACATGGTCATAGCAGCAAGTGCATGGCAGAGCTTTATTTATCTTCGGGAGAAAAGCAAGTGGGGCTTATTTTAATTGATTGCTGTTTGAAGAATTGCTTTAAAGGGAAGAAGGTGCCTCAGGGGCACCAGGATGTTAAGCCAAACAAGAAGGAAAAACAGCTTAAGCTAAAAATGTGTGTGATTTAAATCCCTTCAGTTTTCCTTTTTATAATACCCAGAGCCACCTTCCTCCAGCTGCTTTTTGCTGCATCTGGCAGCACTAAGTGGCTATAAAGCCAATAGATCCTGCCACCTGAAAATTCCCTCTTGAGTGATATAGCGCTTCCATAGGGGAATCCTTGAGTGATATAGTCTTCCATAGTGATTCCTACACAACCACCTCTCACAGTCCCTTGGCATAGGGAGCACGGGCTTAGGTGCTGCATTGCCTTGGTAATCCCCTGCTGCCAAAATGTCAGAATCCAGGCGTAAATAAAGAAGCCCTTTGACTATTCTAATTTACACTGGGAACTGTCCTGGACTCAGTCAGCATAAAGCCAACTTTCCTTTCCCTAAGTCTTGCACCAAGCACTGACTGGCCAGCTCCAAAGATATCTAAGCACAGATAAACAAATAACTCATTTTTTTTGTCAGTATATGTAAATTGAAATGATGTTTTAACTCTCATCAGCATTGTGCTCAGTTGTTTGGCTGTAACATTTGTCTGATAATGATACAAATACTTTTTTTTTTTTTTTTTTTTTACAATTACAGTGCCAATGATACTTTTTTATCAGGTCTTTATGATGTTTTTCTACTGCAAAGTACTTCTCCTCACTCTTATGTTGGATTGTTAGTTAACCATTTTTAGAGTAAGATCACACAATTTTCATGGATTCATAGATTTTAAGGCCGGAAGGGATCATTATAATAATCCATTCTGGTCTCCAGCTTGATGCAGGCCTGATATTTCCTGGTAAACACTGATTCTGATCTATTTACATCAGGGGAGTTACTCTGGATTTACACTGAAGTGACTGAGAGGAGAATCAGGACCACTGTGCTTTACAATATATGTATATGTGAGATGTTTGCAGCAGTATATCTAGTGTAGTAACTCTGCACCTTATCTCTCTCTCTTTGAAGCTGAAAAACATGCTGGTGTGTCCTGTGTGACAGCGTCAGTGGATGACATACAATTTGAAGAGACTGCCAGGTAGAACCCTGTATAGTAATTATCAAACCTTATCAGTTTAGAGTCCTCTTTTTCTTTTCTATTTAACAGAGATTAACCAAGGCATATAAAATCTGAGATAGTGGTTCAATGATTTCCCCACAGGCACAGGGTTCATTCTAGAAATTTGCCTACGGTGCTAGGGCTTAACTTTCCCATTTGTTGGAAGGCAAAGATCAAATTCACAAAGTCTAAAATAAACTGTAGTTACTTTTGACCCTATAAACTAGAAAACAGGTCAGAAACGTAAGGCCCAATGACTTTTGCCCCTGGTTAAAATGAATACTACGAGCCATTTTTTTATTCGTTTTTGAATGAGGAATACATTCAATTATAGATGCTGTGTGAATTTTTGAAAGGTGCGAGCTCTCTTTCAATTTCTTTCTTTTCTTTTTATTTGTTCTTCAGCTGGTTACAAAAATTATCCATGTAACAGAAAGTCATAAAAGAGGAATTTTATATTTGCAAACTCTGTATGTATAGTGAATCCACAGGATAGTGCAGGGGTTAAAAAATCTTTCACTTCTGCTTTAACTCTTTCTCAGCCAGGGAACTAAGATTTCTTAAGGCTAAAGTCTTGTGCTGTAAGTGCCAACTGTTTGCAGTTGATATTAACAATGGGGAACATACATTAAATCTTTAATTAAGAGTTTATTTTTAAAAAAGGCATTGTTCTTGTTCAGATTCACTCCCATTTTAAAAAATATAGATACCAAATTTGCTACTGCATTATAAGAGTCTGGCCCACTGCACCACTAGTGCACTGAGCCAGGACAAAAATGTACTTTTGGATGTAGCTAGGTTTAAAAAAAAATGATTAACCCTTGGAACATTGACATCTTATAAGTGCTGAGCTACAATATTGAATTCTTAGAAGGCAGGATATATGGAATGGGCCCTGTCTTCAGAACTGTATCATAATAATAATGACTGTTGCTCGTATTCGAGTATGACTATGACTAGAAATCAGTTTCCACATGTAGGGTTCAGGAAGACGTGCCAGGCCAAGTTAGTGTATACATTCCCTTCTCCTGTTGGCCAAGGTGGCATGATAATATTCTGTTACTCGTTCTGCTTCCTTTGTAGTGGAGTGCCAAGATCGCCTGTCGTGGGCCATATCCTCCCATATCATTAAGTCCAGCCTGGCAGACTGCATGTGCCACTTGATGCAATCCTTGTAGCGGAGTTTGCAATTATCACAGTTGCACATAAAGCTGGGTAATTGTCAGCAAGATTACAGAAGTGGTGTAATTGCAGTAACTATTGGCAATTGTGCATTCAGAATAAGCACACATTTGTGCACTCATAGTGCTGAATATCAGGCCCCCTAAACCCACATTCACCTATGGCCAGGAGTAAGATTGAGAAGAGACATGCATAAACATTGCCACATGGAAGAGACCTAAGAGGTCCTTGACTTCCCTCACAAAGCCAGTCTCAAGAGTCCTCTTCCCAACTACAGTCTTTTCCATTTTGCTTTCTAATGAAAACCACTTCTCTGGAAAGCTGTGAACAAAAGGTACTACAAACGAACTAAGTGTCACATTTTTCTCTCAGGTACAGAGATGCCACCCTCATGGACTTCAATGGAATTTTCACGCTTATAACTGAGAGCAGAATTAGACCTTAAATATTTTAACTGTGTTTCAGCCATAGATCAGCTTTAACATCCTGAGAGGAGTAGTGCTTACCATGTGATGTGCTGAACATGTATAATTAAGAAGATTTAATTAAACTTCTCATATAATTAATAACTATCCCCTTTAACCTTGATTATAGTGTGTAGTGTTTCCTGCTTTAATGTTTCATTCACTTACATTAGCTTACCAAATCTTTTGGGAAGAGGTATCTATTCTGTGACTATTTCTTTTCAGTTGACTTTGAAACTGAAATTTCTGCAACTTAAACTGTATACTGGGAAAGTTAGTTTTATGCCAAGACAAAGAATGAATTCCTGCTCCTTGTCTTTTTGCATTGTGTGAGCTCATAGTAATAGCATGAGCACTGTATGATTTAAAATAATCTGATTTAAATTATTTTATTCACCATGTATCCCCACCAAAACCTCTCAGTCTGGTACATTTCAAAATGTTCCCATCAATTAAAATGCAGTGTTCTATGACCAGTGTTCTTGAACATCCATTCAAATGCCCAGAGCCAGCTGAAGGAGAGGCAGCTTCTTGGAGTCCCATTGTTTCAGAGGCCCTCAGTCTGAGGCAAGCTTTGTAACTCATATATCCCATTCTGAGAGTGGGACCAAAGGAGAAGGCAATTAATTTCTTCTTTCCCCACCTTTGCATATTGCAAAGTCTGCCTTATAGACACCCACAAATCAGATTGCTAGAAATGTTGTGACCTTCGATGTCCGGGCAGCAAATTAGAGGAATCTACCTGTACAACATATTAAAAAAATAAAGATAATGAAGATTATTTCACTGCTTCTAAAAATGTCATGGAATTAGCTTGTAATATCATTTCAGAAATTGGCCTCTAAAATGACTGAACACTAGTCTCTCTGCCATATTGGGAAAGGGAAGGGCGACCAACTTGAACCTCTTCATTTTAGCAGAATGAGAGAGAACCAGAAAATCAGAAGCAATCAGGAGGCAAGCCTGCACTGACCTGTGCAGTACAGTAGGAGGAGCAGAGGAATTTTGTGCACAACACCCAAATTCAGTTTATGCAAATTTCTGCCTGAGACACACACATCTGACCAGTCCTTTGATTTCTTATGCCAGGGCGCATAAGTAGGACAGGAAGGTGTGACATGAATGAGATTGGGGGTGGCAAAACTGCTTTGTGCCCATCCTCGTTCCCAAATTCTAGGACCCAGTGGCTATTTTGATCCACATAAATTAGTTCTGCCTAGTTGCAGGACTCAGAGAGATTGTAGATCCATATTTCACTCAACTGCCTAGGAGCAGTATGGAGAGCAGGACTAGCACCTACTCAAGAGCTTATATTTCCCTTCCACATAGACACAATTTCCTCCAATTTTTGCCAGTGAAGAATTTGGCCCCTTCTAATGTTCCAAAAGATCCTCAGAATAGAATATAAATGTTACAAGATCAGCAAAATAGTTTGAAATTATTTTTGTAATAGAGACAAGTTTCACTGCAGGGAAAAATAGTTATTGTTTAGAAATAGAATTTGTTGTCAATTTTCTGGATGAAGCATCCTTTTATGGTCTCCTAAGCAAAAGCTTTTCAGACTTTAAAGGCACACTGTCAAGATAAAAATCATATTTTTAAAAAGTCTCCTTATCTGTATTATTAGTAACAGACCAAATTATTCAACAGTGTTAACACTCACAATATTTAGTTGTTGTAAGGGTACTCATGAATTTCTGATTTCTTCCTTCAAAATGTGAAGTTTTGCCCTTATCCAAAATGGCTCCCATCCCATCCCATCACTGTCAGTAGCAATAAAGCAGCAAGATGGCTATTGTCTTCCTTAGGCCTTTGCAGATGAAAGAGATGCTGCCCCCAGCAAAGATGGCCACCATCTTCATTGTTTCTAAGATGGTTGAGAATTTTCCACCGGAATGATTTTCCAAAAGACTGGAAGTGAGATGATTAATTTGAGACCCTTAGTTTAACCTAAACAAATTTTATCCCTTTACCATTTCTTCCAAGTTTAATTAATAAACACACTGGGCCAGATCCCCATATAGTGTAAATGCATCTAGCTCCATGGACTTCAATGGAATTAGGTTGATTTACTAAAGCTGAGGCCCACTGTATCCTGTTTATGCACCGTTGTATACATTGGGCTAGATCCTCAGCTGATGTAAATCAGCATAGCTCCATTGAAGTCAGTGGAACTATGCCAGTTTACATCCACTGAGGATCTAACAAAGTGAAGAGACAGTATTTGCTATTTAAGTTTCTCTGTTGGAATATCAGCCACAGAGGACGCATGCTGCAACCCTGGCCCTGTCCACAATTTGGAGAGTGCATTCTCAGGGCATCACAGAACAGAGCCTGCTTTGGGTTTGTTTGTGGGGAAGAAAGTGAATTCTGCCCTATCAGCCTACGCATAGCTTGAGAAATGAGATATCAGTACCCACTTTTGCAATTGTGCATATATGTACACTCACTGATTTAACAAACCTCACACGCATATGTGCCTGTGTACTTAAAAGTGAAATCCAGTCTGACTGGACTTGAGATTGGTGTGTAATGGCATAACAGCATAATGGTGCATATAGGTATATTTCTAATATAAAGGTACTCTCTTATTAAGTCTATACAGTTTTCTGAATAACTCCAGTTTGGTTCAGCAGCTCCTTTATTGAAGTTCCCAGTAAAGTTTGATTTGAGAAAAACTTCTACAATTAACTACTTGTTGTTGCACATAATTTACTGGCCTTGTGCATTATCAGTAACACGTGCATTGGCATGTAATATTGCTTACCGTTGGTGGTATTCCATTATGTTGCACAGCCAGATCTCTGAAATGACAAATGTTTATACAGCCTGATCCAAAGCACATTGGAGTTAATGGAAGGGCCCTGGTTGACTTTAGTGGGTGTTGGATCATAGTGCAGTTCATGTAATAATTGTGCAACTTAATGAGATGACACTTGTCTTAACAGAGTTGGACAAATTATCATCATCAAAGCAAAGGTAAACCGAGCATTCACTACTAGCATGGAAGTAAGTGATATTAATTTCTCATTTTTATAATTATTTCTTTAACAAATTGCTGCACAGAGAGGCAGGAGGAGAAAGATAATGGAACAAGATTCTAGCACTGTAACTTTAGTATTAATTTCAGAAGGGGCTTAATGAAGATTCTTAAATAAAAAATGTGCATCATCCTCATATGAAACAAGTGCACCTAAATGATTGTTATATTTCTATAGCACATTGCTGTCCAATGGGTGAGCTATGCCAGACTAATATAAGGTCTCCTGAAGAGGTTAAGGTCTAAAGGCATTAGCAAGCGTAATACAAAACAAAATATAAAGTGGGGTAGATAGTCAATATTGGCCCATTCCAAAGCCCATTGACCTCAATAGGCTTTGGATCAGGGTCCATGGCTAGAAAGGCTCACAGAATAGGTGGATTTCTTAATGTTTTTGAAATACATGACACAAAGATCCTTATCTCAGATGTGTCAATGTCACTTATTGCTTATGTTGTAACAGACATGGCAATGCATTGCTCAGTCACCTACCTGAAATCAGAACTGAACCTCAAGTGGTCTCTTCTCCTCTCTGTGCCCCTGTGCAATTTCCATTAGCTGTAATGGGAGTCATATGAATGCATCGATGGGAGAATGTATTCCAAAGTGTTCTAAAAATCCTAAAGACCAAAGACTTGATGCATGTCATGTCTGTTTCAGATGAACTAGTAAAGCATTTCACTAGTCATAGAATCATAGAATATAAGGGTTGGAAGGGACCCCAGAAGGTCATCTAGTCCAACCCCCTGCTCGAAGCAGGACCAATTCCCAGTTAAATCATCCCAGCCAGGGCTTTGTCAAGCCTGACCTTAAAAACCTCTAAGGAAGGAGATTCTACCACCTCCCTAGGTAACGCATTCCAGTGTTTCACCACCCTCTTAGTGAAAAAGTTTTTCCTAATATCCAATCTAAACCTCCCCCACTGCAGCTTGAGACCATTACTCCTCGTTCTGTCATCTGATACCATTGAGAACAGTCTAGAGCCATCCTCTTTGGAACCCCCTTTCAGGTATTTGAAAGCAGCTATCAAATCCCCCCCTCATTCTTCTCTTCTGCAGGCTAAACAATCCCAGCTCCCTCAGCCTCTCCTCATAACTCATGTGTTCCAGACCCCTAATCATTTTTGTTGCCCTTCGCTGGACTCTCTCCAATTTATCCACATCCTTCTTGAAGTGTGGGGCCCAAAACTGGACACAGTACTCCAGATGAGGCCTCACCAATGTCGAATAGAGGGGAACGATCACGTCCCTCGATCTGCTCGCTATGCCCCGACTTATACATCCCAAAATGCCATTGGCCTTCTTGGCAACAAGGGCACACTGCTGACTCATATCCAGCTTCTCGTCCACTGTCACCCCTAGCTCCTTTTCTGCAGAACTGCTGCCTAGCCATTCGGTCCCTAGTCTGTAGCTGTGCATTGGGTTCTTCCGTCCTAAGTGCAGGACCCTGCACTTATCCTTATTGAACCTCATCAGATTTCTTTTGGCCCAATCTTCCAATTTGTCTAGGTCCTTCTGTATCCTATCCCTCCCCTCCAGCGTATCTACCACTCCTCCCAGATTAGTATCATCCGCAAATTTGCTGAGAGTGCAATCCACACCATCCTCCAGATCATTTATGAAGATATTGAACAAAACCGACCCCAGGACCGACCCTTGGGGCACTCCACTTGATACCGGCTGCCAACTAGACATGGAGCCATTGATAACTACCCGTTGAGCCCGACAATCTAGCCAGCTTTCTAGTCATTCACTTCATATTGTGTTTTATAGAGTTGTACAGATTTTTGCTGATGCAAGTCCTACTGCTTCTAAAGATTCAAGCAGGGTACTAAAATGGCACATAAGTAAATGGAAGTCATACTTCATAAAGCCAAATTTAAATGTCTGTACTATTTTTAGAGGTTTTGCTAAGCCTCCATTTACAGATATGTTGCCATGGCTTTAAATATTCATGAAGCGTATTGGTGATACTAGGACATTAGTGAAAAGTCTGTGCATTCTACTCCTTTAAGATGTAAGCTCAAGACAACAGTTATTTCTACAAGTGTTGTGACTTGATGTTTTATCTAGAAATTAACAATGTGGCAACTTTCTTTTTCATTTTAGGTTGGTGTCAAGGTTACAGTACAGGATATTTTGACTAGTGTTCAGAAACTTATTAGTGTGGCTTTCTCTACATATGTAGTAAGACCAGTTGGTGATGAAAAGGTATCTCATTTAATTTAGAAATCATTTAATCCTGGCATGAAAAGAGATTTTGGGAAATGTCTCGTTTGATTATTGTGAAACTGACAACAACAAAAAAAAGATGATATTATCCACTCATTTCATCTGATGACAAAAAAATAATGTGAAGTCCAGACTGTAAGAATATTTTAAAGACCTTCTCTATGACCTCATGATGGGCTATTTTTCTGCCACTTTATAGGTCCTTACTTTTTAATTTTTGCAAGTTCTTCCTTACTAGAATTGGCATCTTTATCCCAACTTTACTGACAGAGTTGGTAAAACAGATATTTCCAAACGTAAAATGAAACCTGCCTGAAAAAGTTTAGAGGCTAAATTAATTGGTTAATGTTTGAACATTAAAGTACTATATAAATACTCTGTATTATTATTTATTATTGGCTTGATCCTGTGTCCAACCCCTTAGTTCACGCCTCTTTAGCTCAACATTCCAAACGGGTCATTTCAGGATGAAACTGATGATGATTAACTAAGATTAGTTGAATGGGCAGCCATTCAAGCAGGAGAATTTGAGACCTCAATTCAAAATCCATCAGAATTTCAGCATTTGGAGCAAACAACTTTAACTTTTTATACCTTTTTAAAAGCCCACTTATTTATTATACTTTTGTTGTTGTTGCTTTATAGACAAGTTTGGGAAGAGGGAAGAATGACTACCTAGGGTTACCATGTTTAAGGTTCCCAAAAAGAGGACACCTCTGGGGGGTGGGGAGGGGAAAGCTGGGAGGGGCTACAGTTGGGGAATACTGGAAGGGTGTGTGTGTGTTCTGGGGGGTATTTGAGAGGTGCTGGATAGGGTATCTGGAGGCTGCTGGAAGAGGTGTGTGTAGGTGTACTGGAGTGGTATTTGGGGGGTGCTGGAGGGGGAACCTGGGGTGCTGGAGGGGGTACCTGTGTTCTCATTCTTGAGGTGGGGGGCAGTGTCACTGCTGGGTCTGGCTCAGACCCAGGACACAGCAACAGCCATCAGTCAGCACCTCCCTATGGGGCTCTCCCCACCCCACCCCCAGGGCTGGGAGCGAGGGATCGGCGAGGTACTAATCAGATGTCGATGCAGGGGAGGGACCAATTGGGGCTCTTTCTGAGTTGCAAAATCTGCCCCACAAAAAACCTGGATCTTGCCTCTTATTTGAAAAATCTGCCCAGACAGAAGGCGGAGGATCAAAAAAGAGGCAATGTCTGGGAAAGCCCAGACATATGGTAACCCTATGACTACCTAACTCTGCTGGAAGGGAGGGAAATTTTGTTTTAAGAAAAAATTGGCAAGATTCTGAGTAGGGATGGAAGTGGAGGAAAGGAGCTGGTTTGAGAAAAGAATCAAAGGCAGAGAAGTGTTATCAGGGATTGGTGATACAAACATCCCCACAGGAGAAGGAGGCAGAGTTGTTTAGAAAGGGGGAGGGCAAAGCTGAGAGAGAGAACATGAAGTGAGGAAAACTGGTGTAGCCCCATGCCCTGCTGACAGTAGGTCCAGGGGAGAGGCGGTTTTGGCCATAGGTAGTGGCTGGTGGCTAGAGACACACCGGGTTCCCTGACAAAGCCTCTAAGTCTAAGCCTCTAAGTTGACAAGAGGATTTGGGGTGGAGGTACAGTGGAACCACTGTCACCCACATGGAGCAGCAGGGTGTTGACTCTGTTCTTGTTGAAGCTTCTGGGCCTAGATGGAAGGGACCATAGGATAGGTCTGGGTACAGAAAGCAGCTGTTCCTTGCAACTCAGCTGTTTTCGTCTGTCCCCTGTTTAGATAACATTGTTCAAACAGTTTGTGCCATTAAACTGACCAATTCTACCCATAGGCATAAATGGATTTTGCACATGCAGTGTGTGTGAAAAGGGAAATACACTTGGAGGCAGAAGGGCTTCACCTGCAGGAGAGTGTTAGAAAAACAGCTTGTAAAAGTGTGCTGCTAAGGCATTTTCAAAGGAGCGTATCTGAGCACAAGTAGTGGTAGGGGATAAATGCGCAACTGGGACACAACACACAATATTAAATCCTCAGAATAACTTGAAAATGCATTTCCAGTTTTGTTTTCTGTGAAGCATTTTAAACAAAATAGGTTTTGGTGAGTTGATTGTATTTTTAGTTTTTCAAAACAAAAACACCTTGTCATTGAATTTTGGCAAATGACTCTGGACTAAAAGTGAAAACCTATATATTGCATAATTACTTGAACTTTAACTCTTTCCTCATCTGTAGTAATATGAGTTGCTGTACTGCAGAAATTACACTCAAGAATTCTAGAGAATGCTGATGCCAGTGTACTTTTTAAATGGCATTGGCTCAAAGTGCAGTTCAGAGCACACTTAGGTATGATTATACAGTCACATGAGAGCTTCTTTTCATTTGTGTAGGTATACTTAAAACCAGTGAAGCTTCTGTCTCCACAAGATCATCTGGAGCATAGTCTGGCTATTGAGAGAAGAAGAATTCGACTGGACCATGAACATGTCTTTGAGACCCTAATGCAAGAGAGTAATATGGAAGATTATCACTGTGGTCAGTAAAGCAGACACAACCAGTAATTATGGGCAAATAGAGGGGAGCCCAAGCGACCAATTCAGACTAGGGGCAAAACCATATAAAAACCCTGGAGGATAAGAATCCAGAGGCTAGCAAGGGGCTTGCCAGGTTTGTGAGGGTGTGGAGGACAACAACTCTCCATGATGGTTCTCTCTGTCCTTCTGTCCTGCAGGATTCCAGGTATAAGGTTGCAGGATCAGGGCCCAAGTGTGAGTTGATCATTTCACATTTACTTTTCACTTAGGGTTTGCCTACATGGGGGGTTTAAAACTGGATCAAATTGAGTTAATCTGGTTTGAAAACCTTGCATACAGACGATGCAACCCATTACTGTGAACTAACTCTGCATTTATTGAGAACTCTTGCGAAGTGGACTAGTTAGATCTTTCGATCATGCACACGCAACTGCTGTGCACCACTTTTTTATGCCTCTTTGCTCATCGATCCCAGTATATCATTATTCTGGCAATACAACCACATAGCATTGCAGAAGTCCCACAGCATGCCTCACACATCTAGCTGCAGCTGTGCTGAGATCCTGGATCTCACAGCCACCTGGGGAGAAGTGTCAGTGCAGGAAGCTCTTGTGGTGTGCCACGGGAATAAGGACTTTGTGTGGACATTGCAAAGCAGATGTCCTAGAGGGGTCATGACTGGGACGCCAACCAGTGCTGGATAAAGAACAAGCAGCTCAGAAAAAAATGCATTGGAATGAGGAATAAGAGGAGACAATCTGTTAGAAGACATGTGACCTGACCATTTTTTGATGAACTGGACATGATTCTATACAGTTATAGTACAACCCATCCAAGATGCTGCCCACACTCTTCCTCCCCCCCACCAAGGATGACTGGCTCGACCCACTGGAGGCTGAGCTGGAGAATGCCCCCTGAGAGCCAGGATCTTTTTGTGTCTCAGGAACCTGATGATGAAGAGCTGGAAAGTAAGCTCCAGTCCTGCCTTGCTACAATGGACCCTTCCATTGGCTGAGCCCGAGTCCCATCCAAAAACCCAGGCTGGGACTGAAGAGTCAGATTCCCTGGAGGGAACTACAGCATGTAAGCAGCTATCTTTACAATGTATTATTTATTATTATTGTTGGCTGATGTGAGCTAAGAGCCCCCGCCTTCCTCCCACCCTCTCTGTTCTGTTTCAAAATAGCACCCACCAGCATGGTGCAATCACAGAAGGTACCTGTCCCTCTCTGCTCCCCTCCAGTGGCAGATTCAAACACCGAAAGCATTCATTTGTGCGAAATTCAACATTTCATTGAAACAGGGCTTACAGGAAAAGAAATTTGGTTAGTTTTTGTAGTTTTCATGAGGTATAAATGCACACTGCATGCCTGGTGAAGGCACAAAAAGCACTATTCTTCACTGAAGTACAAATGCTCTGTAACATGAATTCTAGTTGACAGTCATTGCAGGACTCTATCTGTTTTTTCTACACTTTCTCCGTGTCTGTAGGGGAGTCATAGCAGAACTTAACACTGAGAAATATCTCACAGCTTAATGGTCAGACAGAAGGAATTACTATCCAGATCCCGCCCCCCCCCCCATGAGCCTCCCTTTAAACCTCTAATTCCGAAGAGGAGCATATGGCACAAAAACAAAATTGCAAAAACAAACCTGGAACAAACCAATCACCCCATCCCTAAAAGCATGAAAGCAGACACAGTAGACTGAAATCCAAATGCATTCAGCACCTTCCAAATATTCACACAAGTTACCATCTCTGAGGTTCCCCCCAAAATGGGAAGAGTCTCAGCTGGAGATAAAGTCACATATACTGTACCTACTAAAAAAAGCTGTCATGACTTGTCTGTGACATGAACAATAAACAACTCTTTTTCCCCCCACTCCCAAAACCACAGCACCTTCAACTGCCAGATCATCAAGGACAGGGCTTCTGTGTACTGCTGACAGGATGGCCAACCTGAAGGAGAGAAAAAGGAAGACGTGGGACAAGATGTCAGAATGGCGGAATCATAGGGGAAAACCAGGCTGGCTAAGTGGTAGAGGCTGTACATGAGGACCCAGAAGAAGAAAGAAATGCAGCTTTCCCAGAAGATTGTGGCAATGGCCAAGGAAAGTGTGGCTGCATCCCAATCCACTCCACCCCACCACAAGCTAACATGGGCAGGCCTGTGACTCAGAACACAAACAGTAGGCTCACTGGCAACATTCCCCTCTGTATTTATGTTTTCTGTGGGACACCTTGCTGCTGCTCGAACATCTGAGCAAGTCTCCACTCCTTGGCCTCTCCCACCCAACATTAAGGCTTCCCCCCTTGCTCTCAGCAATATTGTGCAGAACACAACGTGCAGATATAATGGCTGGAACGTTTTTTCGCTGTTGCTTCCAACCTATTCCATAAACAGCACCATCTGCCTTTCAAAGGCCAAAGGCACACTTGACCACCATTCTGTATGGTGCTCCAATACCCCTTTCTGTTCGGAATTCTGCACTCTGGTGGGGGAGGCAAATGATAGGCACATGGGTTCCATCAGTTGCCCCAGTATAGCTTGGGAATGCCATGTGTGCAAAGCCACCAGTAATGTCCTGGGCCCTCCGCATCCTGAAGTTCTCTTGCTAGTGCTGGTCATCTCAGCTCTTCCGAACGACCCTCTCCCATCGATCCACACTGGTTTCCTGCATTCCAAATAGCACTGAATGCTTGTTGGTGATCCAGAAACTGGTCCTCTTGTTCCAACAGCTTGGCATCCTCCTATTCGTCTGCCTCATCCTGCTGCCACCACTGTAGATTATCCTGCTGCTGCCATAGAATATTCTCCTGCTCCCACATCATCCACATGGTGGTGAGACAGGTGAAGTCCAATGCAGAATTCATCTGGCTCTGAGTGCTGTAATACAGCCCAAGCAGCCTGTGCATATTGATGCCTGCCACCACAGTGGCTCAGAGCATTGGTGGTCTATGCTGGCTGACAGCAACTTTAAAATGGTGCGAGTCAATGGGCCAGAGATAGAGACAATACGGGATTTTTTTAAAAATGTGAACTAACATGGCTTCCCACAATTCACAGTGAAAACAATCCCAGGGCGCACAATGCTCAGCAGCAAAGCAAAGGACCGTGGGCTATCCCCAGAGAATGCTATGTTCTCAGTTCACAAAAAGTTGCTGCCATGTGTTCACACGGTGCAGATTGAAAACAGAACAGGCATTCTGTGGGCACACTGTTGGGATGACTTGAATACAGCGAGTTACCTGAGGCTCATAAAAGCACTTTGGCTTAAGCCCCTTGTGTAGAAATACCCTTACTTTGCAGGTTTAGGGTTTTTTTTAAGGGTTTTATAGAATTCATTCATACTTCAAGCTGCATTTTGCAGTGGAGAAATAAAGTCCAATAGCACCAGTTAAGACACACATAGGAGGAGAAATCCATTTGGCTTGATGCCTATAACTTTCCAATAAATCAATAGGAACTATGTGCATGTGAGGAGATTGTTCTCAAGAAACAAGAAAAATTCTTCAGAGTGGTAATCTAAATCCTGGCAGGAAAAGTGCAGAGCATTCATGTGACCAAAAGAAAAAAACTGAAAGCTTAACTGGTTTCTTTCTTCACCTAGATTTGCCTCTATTTCCCAGACTTATCTCTGTCCTGAAATGACATGAATCAAAGTCGCTGTATTCCCTTCCAAAAACATAAAATTATTCACAAGTGTTTAAGAAACTTTCTGGTATTTACAGTCTGAAGTACACATCTCTGTTTATGAACTTCAGTCACAAATAAATTATCTACAGGGAAAAACAACATCTATTATAAATATAATACTTGCGTTCACAATTTAATTGGGTTGTGTGGACTCAGGATGGACACTTTACATTGTCATGATGATACCTTTCTGGTAGGAAAACTGAGGCCACCAAAGAGCAATCAGAGAGTAGTAAGTTCAGTCTCCATGGCCCTAGCTGCGTTAGGGAAATTTTCTAGATATTTTCTACAATTGGTCACAGCAGTTCAACATCTACAGTGACATATAAAAAGTAAAATAGGATAAAAAATGAGATTAGTATATGTGAAGATTGTTAGCTTCCAAATATATACAAAATACATCAAGCAAGAAAATGAAGTTTGTCTTCTGAATGCAAGTTATACAACTCCTTAAAAAGAAAAGGAGTACTTGTGGCACCTTAGAGTCTAACCAATTTATTTGAGCATAAGCTTTCGTTATGCTCAAATAAATTGGTTAGTCTCTAAGGTGCCACAAGTACTCCTTTTCTTTTTGCGAATACAGACTAACACGGCTGTTACTCTAAAACAACTCCTTAAGTAGATCCAAAGTGCAAGGTAATCAGCCATCCAAATGGTTATTTGATTATCGTAAACCACAGTTTACTAGGGCAGAAGCCAAAGACATAATTCGGGTCATATGAAATCCTGTGGTGCAGAAGTTGTTCCATGCTTGGAATGACTGACACATCTGATACTTGAAATTATTATATCAAGATGTAACTGAAAATACAAAGACTGTTTTTTTTTAAATTCAGAGCACCTTACAGTCAAGACCCTGATTCAGCAAGGTACTTAACACACATGTAACTTTAAGCAGTGACTTCAGTAAGACAACTCACATCCTTAAAGTTATGCATATGCTTGAGTATGTAGCTGACTTGAGACCTAAAAGAGTGTGATCTTTAAGTCCTCTCACACAAGACATTGGGGGGCCAAATTCATCCCTGATGTACCTTCATTGAGTTACACAAGGGTTCAGTTTATCCCTAGATTCTTAATTAGACCTTGTGTAATATGCATATTTATGAGTATGTTTACATACTGATGATGAAAATACACGTGTAAGTCCATTGAAATAGTTTCAGTAAGAGAATGCTAAGGTTGTATGGTTAAACACTTGAAAGATGAATTGGCAATGTTACTGTTGTGCACACAACCCTACCTCTGCCCCCAGTGCATGGCTATTCACTATAATACAGTATTTAATGAACACACACTATTTCACAAGTAATACAGTACAACATGATACAATAATTTTCTACAGTCTTAAATCCACATGTTTTGCAATTTTTAGTACTGCAACTCATATCAAAAGTATATAATAAACTGTACTTACTTATAAAACACATTGCAGATTAAGTAGAGTAATAATGAAAATTTACTGGCATACATAGGTTGCCTACATTTTCAATTAGGAGAGCTGCATACCTGTCTGGGTCCCTGAATGTGTGCTTTTAACATAGCTTTTGTATGAAGGATAGATTCTCATCCCTCCTAACAGAATTTGATCTGCCCCCAGGGTGTTCTGTTTCTCTCCATTCTGCCCCCTTGTCAGACAAGAGGCTATGGTGCCCTTGCACCTTGGTAGAGCTTCAGGCTGTTGCTATTATCGAAAGAAGGAGCAGCCTTTTGGCTTCAGGCACTCCCTGGTGTGGGTTTCTTTCTCCCTACAATCATTTTTTAAAATTGTACCAAAAGCCGATAGATCCCTACAATGATGGGGAAAGGGTATATTCCCCTCTTGGGACAGCTAATAACTCTACTCACTTAACTATCCCATTAATGTAGTGTTACCATGTTTCAGATAATGTAAGCAATACAGAGGAAGATACTATTTCAACTGATCTAACCCATGTGCAGAGCATTGAACTTGTCCTGCCTCCTCATGCAAACCATCATGGAAATACATTTGGTGGCCAGATTATGGCATGGATGGAGACAGTAGCTACTATTTCAGCAAGGTACTTTTCTGTTTGATGTCGTCCTATATGATTCTGAAAAGACATGCTGTGTGGAAAATCAAAAGTACTCCAAATTCATCATTTTAATGTTAAGGGCATCACAGAGGTTAGTTACAAATGAGAAGTGAAAATAAAATGTATTGTGATCTCTCTTCCTGTTGAGGTTCAGGGGATGTCTACATATTTATATATAGGCTTTTCTATGGCACTCATTTCCAGAACATCTGAGTGCTTCACCACACTGCTGAGAAATATTGCTATCTCCTTTTTACAGATGGAGAACTGAGGGACAGAGAGATTATGTGATTTGCTTGAGGCTTCAAAGCAAGTCAATAGCAGAGCTAGAAATAGAATCCAGATCCTGATGGCTAGTGCAGTGCCTTGACCACAGGAATATCCTTCCATATATGGTCAAATCCTCTGGCCCAGCATCAATGAAATCTTAAAATGGAGAGGCTGCTCAAGGACAGTCTGCAGCCCCCATACATAGCAGAGATAAACTTGAGTGTGGCCAGTGGGTCTGAACAATATGAGAGCCACTACCAGGAGGTGTGGATGGGCACTGGCATGGGAATCAGTAGAACTGAGTTCTATTCTAGCCATTGACTCACTGTTTTATCTGGGGTGGGTCACTTACCTTCTCTGTCTCCCAGTTCCTACATCTGTAAAATGGGAGCAATAGTGCTTCCCCAGCATCCTTTGTGAAGTGCTTTGAGATCTACAGATGAAAGTGCAAAGTATTATTGCTACCCTTGTAGGTTCATTAGTGGCTGTGGCCCAATTGCGCAGCTGCTCTGCCTTCTGCCTCTAGGCTGGAGGGTTCCATCACCTCAGCCTTGACACTAGTCTCCCACACAAACAAAGCTTCTTTGTATGTGAGACCTGAATTTCTATCAGAATTCCTCTCACACACCACCTGACCTACTTCATTGCAGGAAGGCTAGCGATGTGTTCCTTTTTTACCTTAATAATTAAATGCCATTCCTTTTCCTTATTCATGTAATTTTGATTCATAGCCAGTTAGTTGTACCGATAAGAGATTCTCTTTAGTTCTTAGATAAACAGCTCATTTTATTAAAAATAGAAAACACGCTGATTTTACATCAGTGTGTAACTCCATTGACTTCAAAGGAATTACTCCTCATTTATGCCAGTGTACCCGAGACCCAGTCCAAAATATCAGGCCCTGTTTCCCTTTGATATATCAATACACAACTAACCTGAAAGCTAAAATAGTTTATTTGGAACTATGAATATTTAACATAATTTATCAGGTTGAAACTTTTAGGAATAATAGCTCATGGCAGAGACAATATTGGATGGAAAGAGAGCTTGTATTTTATGTTTGAGAAATAGCTGCCCTCGCTACAAACCTTTTATAAGGCAACAATTAGCTCTGACCTTTGTAGGTACCAGTTAGTGTTGCTATGGCCACAAGCTAAGATGGGGAAAGCAGGGGGTGGGGAAGAGAGAGGGAAAAAGCAATACTTGAAGAATAAATTTAAAACACCCACAGAAAGGTTTTTTCAAAAGGTTATTTCCCCTTTCTAAAAATTGTGACAGAAATTGAGCACCTTAAAGACAGTATTGCAGTAATTGAAAATCCATTTGAAACAGGGCTGTCCTTTCTGATATTTTATATGACCAATAGAAGTATTCGGGGCTTTGTTTTTTTAGAAAAATAGAGCTTCATATTTAGGAAAAATCCCCCTTTAAAAAAATCACGTTCTTTCGTCCCGTTGGTATTTTTGGTAATATTGTATCTTTACTGTGAGTGTAGTAAATGAGATACCCATTTAGCATTTTAAATAGGAAGAGCAAATTATGTTTAATGAAATTACAAAGTCATTTAATGTATTAGCCTATTATAAAGATGCTCTATTCAATTAATTAGCAACAGATAATTGTGTGCATTTAACAATACTGGTACATTAGTTTACAGAGAGCGCAATTGAATTAAGAGCTGAGACTACTACAAAACTGTGTCATTTCTAGGCTAAAAATGTGTACGATGAAATTCTGTACTATATATGTCTGCTTTTCTCACTGAATTTGATGGGCGTCTCATGCACATTCATGAGGGCAGAATATGGCCCTTTAGAGACAGGAAATAAATTGCATTGTTGTTATTATTTATCCTGCAGTAGCACCTAGAGGCCCCAATTGGGACTGGGGCTTAAGGCTGTGAAGAACAATAGAAAAGTCCCCCTACAAGAATTTACAAACTTAAAAATCATGATCCTGTAACTTAATCACAAGTGCAATTCTAAGTAATCCAGTGGGACTCCAAAGCTCCAATGGGACAACTCAGGTGTGCAAAGTAATGCATGTGATTAAGTGTTTTCAGGATCAGGGCCTAAATTGAGAAAAGAGATATTAGTGAGTGTAATAAACAACAGAAGGGTATGGGGGATGGAAGGATGAGGTAAACAACAATAATAAGAGAATTTATATTAAATTAATATACCTTTAAGTCTTGATTTTTAGAAGTTAGGCATGCAACTTTGGATTTCTGCATGGGCAGATGGCCAGTTGTACATCTAACTGGCTTTTTGCATGTTTAAAAACCCAGTTCTGAGACTCAACTTCAGTTGTTGCATGCAACTTTTAGAAAAAAGACGTATTTCTTTAGTGTCATTACAAAATAATGCAGGCTGTATTTGGGTGAATTTTTAATTAATGTTTCACATAATCATATACTGCACAAAACTATATTAATTTCTGATAAATGTGCAGAAACCATCAGAGGTAAAAAGGATGTATGGACTGAAGTTCTTACATAGACACATCGTCTTTGGCCCTGAGGAAGTTTCACTAACTCAAATAGGTCCCGATTGTGAACTCTTTACTCACACTGAACAATATCTTACTCCAAAAGTAGCCCTGTTTAAGTGAACGGAACTCTTTGAGAAGTAAGGTACTACTGAATGAATGAGAGTAAGGGGTTCATAATTTGGCCCAATATGAGGTTTATAACAAGGAGTGAGGATTAATTAGTTAAATGTTTGTAAAGTGCATTGCAAATGAAGCAGCACAATAGCAGTGGTATTATATTTTGAGACCCAAATTCTGTGCCATTATTTAGCTGAATGTGCTGTCATTTATGGGAAATCTAGGGATTAAATTAGGCTTGCATTGTGAACTTCTAATTTGTGCCGACCTCATCACTTTAAGTATGCCAAATAATCCTGGGCTGTACCAATACAGAAAAAAGAATTACAAGGCCATATATTCCATTTTGTGTCTCTCCTGCTTTCTCATTCAGCCGTCTCTGTCATTCATATCCCATCTTGAAATCAGTTGATATGTTTAAATTCCGGGGACCCTCCACTGTTGGCGATCGTCTTGTCTTCAAAGCAATAGTTAACAACACATTTCAGAAAAGGTAAAACTATCTATGTGCTTGTCTTACTGCCCCTCTATAGCACAATCCCTCCTGAATATTTCAGACTCAAGCCCTCACTGGGGTTTTCCTTATCAGGTTTTTGATGAAGAAATATTTTTAAAATAGCTCTGCTTTTCTCACTTCAAAAATAGTTTGAAGCTTGGTTTATTGTTTATTCAAATCTAAAAGATTATCCATACCCTCTAGTGATTGATATCCCAGTTCTGCAAACCTTAATTACAAGTGTAATGCTAAGCAGTCCAATGGAACTCCAAGTCTCCAATTGGACATTGTAGTCATTTGGACCCTGATCCTGGAGTATACTCCATGTGGGTACAGGGCTCTATCTGTGTGGAGCTTATTGCAGAGTCCAGGCCCTTGCAGCTGCTTCCTGGTTGCAAAACTCTTCTTTTGGAAGAAGGAGGAAGAAGGGGAGGGTGACTACATCTGGTGTTAAACCGAGCCAAATGCAGCCTGGAATAAATGGGTGCAGCTGCCATAGAAGCCTTTATACCAGTTGCGATTGGTTCTAAGTTGGGCAGAATATGAGTGTTAAGGAGCATTTATTTAGCACAATGAAAGGGCCTAATGCTTGAATTTCTGGAAGTCTGCTTTGTACCAATCCTGTGGCATAAAGCAGACTTAAACACAGTGGATCCTACCTTCTGAGGATCCCCCCATGGTGGGAGAAACCTCCAGTGACTTAAGGCCACTATAGAGGCTCCTACACCACGACCCCCTTTCTGAAACCTAGCAAAGAGTGTGTGTGGTTGCAATACCCCTTTGCCAGGGGGATCCCCAGCTACTGGAATGACTCCTTGCAGTCAGGCATAAGTAAATGACACCAGGGAAGTGACAGTTCCTTAGCCAGCCTGGGACGGGGAATGTCAACGTCGCTTAAACCCATCTTTGCCCCCACTCCGACCCCTGGTCCTGTGATAAGCACTGCTCAGCCAGACCAGAGGCTGTGGCCTTAGAAGGTAGACGAAAGTGCCACAAGAAAAGCCACAGGACGGTATAAGGTTTCAGAGTGGTAGCTGTGTTAGCCTGTATCAGTAGTCCTTGTTTTTTTTAGGAGGGTATAAGTTACAGCAGTCCCTCCTCGAACGTCAGCTTATATTGTGCCATGTCAATATTTCTGGAGCAAATAGGGTCCTGGTGGCAATAGATGTAACTCCCACTGCTACTCTCTTCTATCCAGGGCTAAATTTGGTCCTCCCAGGACATCAGCTTGCTGTGAGTTACCCTTATCGTGCACATCTGAATGCCAAATCAGTGCAAGTTCGCTCCCACCCCCAAGTCTTCCCCCTCCGGCCCCCAGTTCCCACACTCTGCTCATCATTGGATATCTAAGCACCTACACTACTTTGCTACTTCAGTTCATTTTCTGCCTATTTTAGTCCTGACATTTATCTTACACCACCTTTTACATCACTGCTGAAATATGCCTCTGTGTCCAGATAGAAAACTAATTATTAATTGTTCATATGTCCAAAATACTCAGATTTCCATCACTGTTGTTCCCTGTACCCAAGAAGTATATAACAGCTCTAGTTATTATGTTTGTCTCATTGCTGCTTCTGTGTCATTCTGTCATGGTTAAATAATTCATTTAAACTCTTCTTTCAGTGTTGAGGTTGGCGTTCGTGTTGAGGCCTACAACTGTGAGGAGTGGACCATAGGCCAAGCGCGGCATATTAACAGTGCTTTTCTGATTTTTAATGCTGTAAATGACAAAGGAGAGCTCCTCATCTTCCCCAGAGTCAAACCCACTACAAAGGTCAGCTCTTTACATGAGAGAGAAAATGAATATAAAGATGGCTTATATAGTCCAACCCAAAAGTAATGCATATCACACAGCCAATCACTGTCAGACATTCCGGGGAAGTGAAGAGCTAAACAAGGTTATAAACTGAATTACTTTCTCTTCCTCCTCCTCAAGAGGATATTCTGAACTTGAGAATGCTTGTAGGGTAATTGAACAACTCCTTACTAGCCTGGGGATTTGTAAAGGAAGTTGCTGGAGTCAGGCACCCAAGTCCCACTGAATTTCAATGGGAGTTAGTGCCTAACTCCCTTTGGCTCCTTTGAACATTCCAGCCCAAGTACATGGATCCCTTAAAGTGGTTCGTTGAGCTTTTAAATCTTCATGAATATAAAACTTCTGTTTGAATAGTCTGCTATAGTCTTTTTTCTTTCTCACAGAATTCCATAAAGCACCAGGGCAGGAATAAAAGAGCTACTAAAATAGTGAATTAATGACTAGTAGGGTAATGACTTTGTGAGGAAATGAGGAGTCATATGCACTCCACGCTAGCCAATGCACTACCTTGAACATTAAACTCCATCTTGTTTCAAGAGGGAAAGCTGACTCTTACGTCAGCATTATCGCCACTCTTCTAAAAAATGCGATGGCTGCTGGCACCTTAACTTCAACTAGAGAAGCAATGCTTCAGCTAAGCAGCACCTCACAGGGCATTAACTCCAGTCCCTTTTTTCTAACAGGAACAGAGTACCAGCTCTGAAGCAGAAATAAAAAAAGAAGCTGCTTTCTACTGCAGTTGAAGAAGAAAAAATATGCAGACTAACAGACTAAAATAGAGGGTTAGGTGTGATATTTTCAAAAGCACCTAAGTCACACAGCACAAGTCCCGTTGACATTCAGTGGGATTTATGCTCCTAAATTACTTAGTTGCTTTTGAAATTTCTATTCTCAATGGAATAGCAATGGAAAAAAGTAGTGACTGAATAGTCAGTTTGAGGTGGTAATCAACCCTATTGTGCAGTACTCACTTCTAATTTTTCATAATGCACTGCCCTCTGTTCTCCAATGCAGACGTGCTAAAGCGGTATAGAAATCCCTCAAATATTGCTTTCCATGTTGAGCTCTGTGTAGAAAGTCCCTTGGATTAATATTTTATCTAAAAGGTGGCACTTTTGGCAAGTACAGAATGTTTAGCATTGTACTTCTTTATTGCTCTTGGGAAAAAGTCCATGTAATAACACTATGCTACTAGGATACTCCAGACTGGTAGTTAGATTATTTTTGCTATGTAACGGGATACATCACATTAAAAAAAATTGATCAAGTCCGTACCTGGGGAAATTCCATTGTAATTAGTGCAGTTATTTTGGGGCAGAGGGGTTTAAATAACATACTTTACATTTGGTATGTGACAGTGTCCCTTTTAATAAATAATCCTTAATTGTCTTTTATTTGCACAACATTATCAAAATAGAATGTATCATAATTCAATCAGATTATTTCTGTTTCATTTTGCTTCTTGTGAAGGATGGTTTGAGAAGATATCATGAAGCTATTGCACGCAGGAGAATTAGACTAACCAGGTATATATAAATTTCAAAGGTAACTTTCACAGTGGGGCAGAAGTGAATGGGGTTTTTTTTACATATACTGTGCTCATTATTTTAAGTCTTCTCAGATTAAATAGCTGTTGTCACTTAGCATTTCTGGACCTGATCCTGTTTGCCTAAGTCATGATGAAATCAATGGCTACTATTCATCTGAGTAAGTCAAGAAATATTTGGGCCCTCTTGTGTGTTCCCCATCCTTTTTTGGGAAAAAAAGAGGAGCTAATGCTTACTTAACTCACTGTGTTGTCGTGAGGATTAATTAATTAATATTTATAAAGCATTCAGAAGATGCTGAATACTATGTAAGTGGTTGTCATTGTACACTGAAGGAAGACAATGAATGCTATTTGTTTTTTTTTTTTACCTCTTTGTGTACATAATATGTATTTCAGAAAATATATCCTCTCCAATAAGGAAGACACTCCTTCCTCTGATCTCTGGGATAGAAGCAACCAGGTAATACTTACATCATCTGAATTCATCCACATACATAGTCTTAGAGGTACATTTGGACATTCTGCATGTGTCAAAACAATGCTAAAGATCTGACCCAAACAGTTAGCATCTTAACTTGACTTGCTGTACCTAATGTCGGAAGAGTGGGTAAATGTATATAGTCTATGTGTAGCAATACTTACGCATAGTGGGGTGAACTAAGGATGGATTAGCAATACTGGCCCTGAATTTCCATGATTTTGTGTATTTATACAAATCCCTAGATTTATTTTATTGTGGAATGTTCTGTATGAAAGTTTTTTTTTAACCCCAGTAGCTCCTTGATGTTGTATTAGGTCCTTTTAATTAAATCTAAAAGTAAATAAATAATAATTGGAGATGTATAATGTGGGAAATTATTTGCCATTGACTACGACAGCACTGGAGTGTGTCACCATCAGAGTTTGAATTCTGTGGATGTAGAAATTTTTTTCTGCAGGAAAGTAAATATAAACAGACAGTAAATCTGAACAAACTGAATAATCCATTTTTTTTAAAGATGAAATTGAAACAAGTCTTTAAAGATTCTTGCACTGTATGATCTCTTTTTACCACTTCCAAATATCAGCTCCATCCTGGACATGTACCTATCCTGTTGTCAAACACAAGTAATAGGCATCCAGTCCAGATATCCACTCCTCTGATTACACCTTCTGTTTTCAAGCAGCTGCCAAAATATTTGCACAATCTAACAGCAGTGAAGAGGTTAATTTGCTAGCAGATTTTAATTACTTATAAGAAAACTGAAGTATACCATTAATTTAGTAGCCTCAGAGGTGAAGCGTATTGTCTCTCTGACAGTAGAGGGGTTTATTGCTTTATTTTATCCATCAAAGAAACCCAAATTAGTGTTTTTAATTAGGGTTCTTTTGCCATCGGCCATGTGAAAACACAATTCAGCTATTGAAAGTATTTAATTCAGAAACTACTGGACTGTGTTTTCTGGAAGAAGACCACTTAAGGGAAAAAATACATTTGCCTGGTTTGTGATTCTGGAGTAACTATGGTACAGAAATGAGATTCTCTTTTATATCAGCCCTTCATTTTTAATAGTATATCTTACATTTCAGGCATACTTGAGTTACAGCAATGTAGCCACCCTGACAGTCCTGGCAACAAAATGTGGATGGGAAATAACCAGCACTCTGGATAATGTAAGTCCAGAATTGTGGAAGAGTTGCATGCCAACTTCAGTAACATTTGGAGGGGCAGATCATGCTCACCTTTAGAACTGGGCAGACAACGTATATTCTGTTTCATGAATTATTTTGATATTTCAAAATTTGGTTTAGTTCTGATTAGGAAAGGAAAACAAAATTTTTGAAATTCTCTGTGAGTGGGAGGCAGCATCTCCTGCCTGGTGGTTAAAGGCCAAAGCAGCAGTTATGCCCAGTGGTTTGTCTCCAGTAGCGTCCTTGCCTACTGGGTACAGCTCATGGGTGGTGGCTCTGCCTCACTGGCTGTTGCTCCACTTCATGGATGCAGCTCACAGGAGGAGTAGGGAAACCCAGGACCTCCCATTCCACCGGGTTCTGATCCAGGGTTCTCAGAGGCTGTCCATCATACTGCATCCCAGCTACCTTCCGGGCTTCTGGCCCTGGTCCCAGTCTCTGGAAGCGGCAGCTCCCCCCCCATTCCCTGGCTTGGTGGAGGAATTAGGTCACATCCTGCCCTGGAGATCCCAGAGCACATCCTTCTCCCTGGCTTGCCAGCATCAGAGTGAACTGTCTGGCAGTCTTTTAAACCCCGACTCCAACCTGAGCATGTTCATCACAGGCGGAGGGGTGGGGCCCCTGAGCCCAGAGTTGCTTCTTAACCCCCTCCTGTCCAAGGGGTTGATACACCTTGTCACATTCTCCAAGAAAGAGGAATGAAACCCTAGCTTCATGAATTAAATCTCATCTGGCAGGCAGCCCTGGAGGCATGAATCCTGAAAGCTGTGGGCTCCCCAAATCTGAGGCAGTCCAAGTGGCAGGCTGCTCCAGAACTCTGGACCCTGAAAGCCCTGGGCTTCCCAAATCCAAAGCAGTCTATGTGGTACCCCAGGCCCATAAACCATGCTATTTCTGCAACAATTAGTCTTCTAAAAGAAACACATGAAATATTTTACAACCATGCACCAGAGGTAAAGCTTCCATTTCAATTTGAGCATAGTGGCATTCTGTTTTTGTAAGAGCCCTGGATGCATATGCCTCCAGTCTCCAATGCTCATCATATCTTTGTAGCAACACAGCCCCTATCCCTTCTTTGGAGGCATCAGTGGACAATTAGGTCTGCCTCTTGCTGTCAAAATACCTTAGAACGGGTTTTCTGAATCACTTGTTTTAAATCACCAAACTCTTTGTCCAGGTTAGCATCCTATGTCCGCTGGTTATTCTTTTGCATGACTGCACAGAGGTTGCTGGTTTCTGCAGCCAAATTAGGTTTAAATTTACCAAAAAAATTAGCCATTCCTATGAACCTCTGTAATCCCTCCTTGTTTTCTGGATGTAGCATATTTGTTATATCTTGTGTTCTGGTAAGATCAATATATCTCCCTTATTCAGTTAACCTTTTTCCTAAATAGGTTAATTTCTCTGAGCCTGAATTTACATTTTTGCTTATTTAGCTTCAGGCTTTCTGCTCTAGTCCTGTCCAAAGCTCTCTGTAACCTGTAATTCTGATTCTCTATTGTGCTGCTTTCTGTGCCTTCAGTTCCCTCAAATATTTGCTGCACATTTCTATGACAGACTTCTGGAGCAGATTTTAGACCAAAAGGTAATCTGAGTAAGCAATATCTTCCATATAGCACTCCTCTCATGTAAGGGAATCTGCTAAAATCCAGGCAATGCATCTAAAGTAATAAAATACTTTTACGCCAGTCATATCTTTTACCTTCACTTTTGGTACACACATACATCTAGTAGGAATGAGTTCCCCATTATAAACTTTCAATTTAACCTGTTTGCTCACCATTTTTTTTCATGTTTTTTTCTTTAACTTTTTAAAACTAATATCTGAAACAACATTTACCAGAGCACCAGTGTCAAAATATAAGAGTCCCATTAGTCTATAAGGAAACTGTCCATTCATCTGTTCCTCTTAAGATACAGCTCCTAGATCAGTAGTTTTTAATCTTTTTTCATTTGTGGACACCTACAAAATTTCAAATGGACGTGCAGACCCCTTTGGAAACCTTAAACATAGTCTGTGGATCCCCATGAGTCCACGGACCACAGGTTGAAAACCACTGTCCCAGATAAAACTCCTTTTTCTGTTGGTTTCAGAGTAGCAGCCGTGTTAGTCTGCATTCACAAAAAGAAAAGGAGTACTTGTGGCACCTTAGAGACTAACAAATTTATAGTCTCTAAGGTGCCACAAGTACTCCTTTTCTTTTTCTGTTGCTGTCCCTGCTCTCTTCCTGGATTATTGCAGCAGCATGCATGCTTTCCTCTTCTGCAGCTGTTCATACTAGTTGCAGACTTTGGCAAAAGGATTGTATTTCTTACAAATATTGCAGTTCTTCCCAAAAGCTGGGCATTGTTGAAGTCTGTTTTTGTCCACACCTTGTGCAGTCCTTGAAGATTTCCCTTGCAAACTCTCATGCTTTGCTTTTTTCAGGCTTCTCTGTGTTTTTTGTTCTGTACTGACTTATTGATCGCCAGTTTTTTCTCTTTTGTCACTCTATCCAGAGTGGCAGTGTCCTCTTTTCCTTCCATTGTTATTATTCTGTTTTGAGTGATTGCTGCTGCCTGACACAGTCTTTATCCAAAGTTAGCTCTGTGTCATCCAACACTCTTCTTTCAGCTTTGGATCTTTGTTTCCAATTACAATTCGATCCCTTATAACAATCTGTTAACTGTCCATTGTTGCAGGTTGAGCTCATTAGCTTCAGTTCTGTTAGGAACTCTTCAAAGGACACTCCTTTCAGTTTGTCTTCTTAGGTGAAACTTATACTGTACCTGTCAAATGTTTCACTCTTTTAAGGTATACAATATTCTTCAAATGTCTGCCTGATTTAGTTGCATGCTATAAAAGACATCCACTGCCTCAAGTCCTGAAATATTTAAGGAGATTGCTGATTTCTGCTGGTCTTCTTTCTCACCAGAGCCAGCTGCTTGCATTTATATATCAAACCTCTGTTTGAATCCTTTCCAGGAGTCTGCTGAATTACCTGAGAGTTTCAATGCCTTGGGGGCTTTTAGTTGGTTCCTCTCCAATATGACTCCTTTACTTCTTCATCGCAGTCCTCTTTTCTCTGGGTTGTCTACACTATGCAGCTTTTAGCCACAAGGCTATGTCAACACAGCCTTGTGGCTAAAAGTCAGCGTGTGTGAACGCTGTCTGTTGGTATTTTGTCAGCACTTTTGCCAACAAAATACTTCCAGCCCCGCGTCGGCAAATCTTTTGTCTTTCGCGGTGGGGGGGGGAGGGTTTAAGTGTGAAAGACAAAAGTTTTTTCAACAATGTCGCAGTGTAGACAACTCCTTAGTCTTCTCTTGTACCCAGCTGGTACCATGTATCGTCTTGTGAATTCATAAGGAGAAATTCTAAGATTCTAAGAATTAAAGAATTAAAAACTGGGTTACCTAAGGTAAAGGAGAACCATGAGCTCCTAGCTGTGTGTCTGGTGAAGCTGCCACTAGACTGCCTCCAACCCATTCTCACTGACCCCAGTCTATTTCCCTCTAACATGTGCTCTGCTCTTAAAGGCACAGTACATACTCCTAACAGTAAACATTTAGTCTGAGTACTTCTTCTGCCTGGCTTCTCTAAGAACTTTTCCACATGGACACTTAGAGCTGGGGTATGAATCTACAGTACACTGCCTGCTGCGTACTCAGTCTCTGTGTGGAGAGCTCTAATACAAACCCAGAGTAACATGTATATTTAAAGAAAAACAAAAGCAAAACCTTACTGGAACAAAATACTCCATTGCACACACAGTTCTCCTCCTGCAGAGAAGATGAGAGAGAGAACAAACAATACATTAGTCATGTGGTTTTAGTCATGTGGCTTCATACACTACTGAAAGGTGCTCAGGTATTCCCCCCACCCCCATCTCTTCCTCAATATTTACAATATTTTTACCAGCTCAAGGCCCAGGATGGACAAGATGGAATTCTGGGCCAACAACAGCTTTTCGATATATAGAAAATGTCATGACTTTTAAGTCTAATATTCTAGGTCCCTGCACTTGGGTGGAGCACAGGGGATTTTTGAGGGGGCCCAGGATTTGGCCGTTTGTTTTGAAGAGGTGGCCTGAGCATCTGGGGACCTTAATGAAGAGGCTTTTTTTCTGTACCAGAAAAGGGTGTCCTAGTGTTTGTGGAAATCACACAGGAATTGGGCTCGTCACACACCCTGGGCCGTGTACAGTTGGCGTGGGTTCAGCAGTAGAGAAATACCAAAAAAAAAAAAAACAAAAACTCTTAAAACTTTTGTGAAACAGTTTTTCAATACTATAACTGGCTTATACAGACTATACCAGTGGTTCTCAAACTTTTGTACTGGTGACCCCTTTTACATAGCAAGCCTCTGAGTGCGACTCGGATGAAGTGAGCTGTAGCTCACGAAAGCTTATGCTCAAATAAATTGGTTAGTCTCTAAGGTGCCACTAGTACTCCTTTTCTTTTTTTAATCTTAAATACTCAACTGCATCTCACTGCCTGTCAGACATATGTTGCATGTTCTCTTGACAAGTGAAAAGCTGGTGAAGTTGTCCATTTATGTTCTTCATTCTGTATTTTTTTAATGCTGTTCATTTGTTTCAGATAAAAATATTCACACAGGAGGAGAGTGATATCTTGTCTGTCAAGGTAGAAATGCAAGTGAGGATACCATCAAATCTAGCTTTCTTCCTTTTATCTGACTTCAGACTCCGCAGGCAATGGGACAAACATTACTTGTAAGAGCAGCTCAAGATTTTTTTTCTAGCACTATTTCACTCTGCTGTTAACTAAACTTTTCAGATGCTATCACTTGTGATGTAGATACCTTTCTTCTGGATTCAAATTGGGATTGCCATGAATTGACAAGAGAGGGGGCTGCGCCATAGGTTTTCTTGTATGAGAGTGAGCAAGTTTCCATGCCCTAAACATGGGGCATAGTGAAGGGTTCAACTTTAATCATATAGTGTATATTCACAGTGCGAGAAGCAAGGCAGAGCAGCTCACTCAGTCCTAGTCTGCTCTAATTGAACATGTTTATGCGGTGTGACCAATTCACAGTGTGCCCCAGCTGAATGTAATGTCAGAGTCAGGAAACTCATAGTCATCGCCTCCTAAATGCCAAAGAAGTTTTATGGTTTTTTAGAGTCATTGCTAACTCAAATAAACTCTGTGAGCTGTTTATTTTCTTAATATCCCTCACAGAGAATAGAATAGGAAATAGTGGGAGATGATATAAAACAGGTGGATGTGGTACCATTTTAATTAGGTGTATACATGCACTTAAGGAAAAAGAGAGGCTTTTCCAGTGATTCATTGTATCTTTAAAGGTTTTTATCGGAGGATAAATGTTTTGATTATGTTCCGAGTGGTGCTTCGAGGAGATTTGCAGGCCCAACAAAGAGGAAAGTCTGAAGAAAAATTAAAGGCATATGTGGCAATATATCTAGAGCTTTGGATTTCTTATAACTAATATATAGCCTCGAGAACTGACCAAAATGATCTATTGGCTCCACAGTGCTCAGGCGTTAGGAGTAGAAATAAAGCAAAAAATATTGTCTGCATAAAAAGCACGGTTGAGGATTTACTCCTGAGGGAATTCTGTGCTAAAAAATTAAAAATTCTGCACACAATATTTTAAAATTCTGCAAAATTCTGTAAATTTTATTTGTCATTATATAAATGTGGCTCCAGCATGGCAGTGCGGAGCAGAGCACACTGGCTGCATTGAGGTGGGAGATCACCCTGAAGCTCCCATGTCCCCCCATACAGGGACTTGGCAGTGAGGCCGCACCTGACCCTGACATAGTGCAAGGGCTAGGCCTGCCCCAGAAACACCCCGGGGCCCTGCCTCTCTGCCCCAGGTACATCTGGTGTGAGTGGGCAGGCTCAGCACAGCAGGATCCAAGTGTGGAGGGGCTTAGTGTGGAGGGATCCAGGTGTGTGGGTGAGAGGTTTCTGTGTGGGGCAATCTGGGTAGGAGTGGCTCAGTGGGAGATTTGAATCACAGGGGCTCGTTGTGGGGTTCCGGGTGCAGGGGCAATGGGCCTCTGCACGGCACCCAGGTGAATGTGGTTGGAGCTCAGGAGAGGGGATCTGGGACTTGGTGAGGGGTGTGTGGGTGGAGGGCTCAGTGTGGGGGTCCAGGAGCTGGGGGGCTGGGGTGGGGGTCCAGGTGCAGCTGGTTGGGGCTCAGTGGGGTGGGGGTCCAGGTGTAGGGGGCTCTTTGGTGGGATAGGGCTTGTCAAGGTGAGGGTTTGATGGGCCTGCTTAACGGGGGAGCCCCAGCTGCTGCCGAGGAGCTGCCGCATGCTGGGCTCCTGCTTCCCCTGCAATTCCCCTATCCCCTTTTCTTCTCTATCTGCCTCCCCTTATGCCCACATTCCCCTTCTCCTGCCCTATTCCACCCCATTGCTTCCCCACTGCCTCTTCCCCCTACCCCCTCAGGCCCCCTCATTTCTCTCCTCCCCCCCCTTACCTAGCCCCATCGTGGGCACTCCCTGTTGCACAGAAAACAGGAAGGCTCCCAGCACACAGAAGGGGAGCATAACTGGCACTAGGACCCAGGTGGCACTAGGACCCAGGAGGCAGCGTTCAGCTGCAGAGTCAACGGAGCCAATATGCAGCCTCCTTCAGCTGGACAGCGCTGCACTTGCAAAAATGAGGGGTGTGGGGGGGGGGAGAGTGCCCCCCCCATGCCGCCCAAAAACTGTACCCATGGTCGCGCTCCCTCCACTCCCCCATGGCGTCCCTTTATTTCCCTGCCATTTTCTGCAGGGGAGCACAGGAATTCTGCGGGGGGTAGGGGAGCATTTTCTGCAGGCGCGCAGTCAGGCAGGATCCCCCCAGGAGTGAGGATAATGTTTTTATATTGAATAGGTTGACATTAAAGGTAAATTGCTAAGGTAAGTGGCTAGTGGCTCTAAGAAGAGAGCAAGTAAGGATACCCTGGCAGGGGGCTATTCCTAAACAGTGCCCTCGGCAACTTTGATTGAAAATCAGTACAGACACTTCAGGATGAGAGTATAACATTTTGAACCACTGGAGGAATACATCATCTGATCCAAATTTATGCAAAACATCAAAGAGAATGTTCCAAGATGCTCTCTCACATGCTCTTTCTACATCTAAAAAGCGGGAACTAGATTCAAGTGTTGAGTGCCTGGAGGCCCACAGAGCTCCAGAGACATAGCAGGCAGCATTGCAGGTAGCGGGGCTGTTCTTCAGAGAGCCCGTTTGATTTTGGCCCACAAGTTTCAGGAGAAAATGTTCTAGTCTGGCATGCAGTCTTTCAGCTGGTGGTTTAAGAGCCTCATTAATGAGGGAAATAGATGTGTAAGGGGAGCACTCCCCTGTGTCTTTGCTTTTCCCATGTATGTTAAGCTAAGGCAGGTGGCAAGGTGGGTGATGTAAATATTTTTTTTATTGGACCAGCTTCTGTTGGTGAGAGAGAGAGAGAGACAAGCTTTCGAGCTTACACAGAGCTCTTCTTCAGGGCTGGGAAATGGCCTCAGAGTTTCACAGCTAAATACAAGGTGGAACAGATTGTTTAGCATCAGTAGTTGACATATTTCAAGGGACAAGTCAAGGTAAAGTGGCCTGTGAACACCCCTCCAGTCACAGGGGCAAAAGGAAGATGGTGGGGAAAGGCAACTGGGCGGGCAGCTGATTGTTAGTGAGTTACAGAGTGATGTAATCAGCCATAAAGCCAGTGATACTGGGGAACATTTAGATACCTAGAAAATAGTACTGAATGCAGTTTGATGCTTTTCCACAGAGGACAATATGTGAGAGTTGCTTGTACTGCTTTGCTCCAACACCAGCTGGTCCTGGAGCTTAACTTGATTTTTTTTTTAGCGCATCAAGGGCAGAGCCATAGGTGAGACATTGCAAAGAAGAAGGCTCTTTCGCTCTGTTTCATTACACCCCAATTCTTTGAGAACTTGGTGTTGGTCCACCTTTTGCAGAAAAGTAACATTATTTGTGGCACAAGCCCAACTGAACTGCAAATTAGTTTCCAGCCTAGTTTTAACACTCTCCGAGTAATCCGAAGAAAAACTGAAGAGCCTACATTAAAATGGTAAGGTGTTCTTTCTGATGCAGTGTTTTTAAAGAGAGCTTATTGCACACTTCAGGTGCTGAACTGTCCTGACTATGGCATGTTAAATGTACTTGCAGAACTTGTGAGGTTGTAGAGAATGTGAATGAAGATGAGAAGATATACTACATTACATCGCCATCAGTGAAAGGAGATAAACCCAAAGATTTTGTAGTTCTTGTGTCTCGAAGACAGCCCTGTAAGACTGGGTGAGTAAGTGAATTTCAAGCTTAGCTGGTGCTAAACCTTTGGAGCTATAACTCTTGATTACCATGCATATCTAGAAGTCGGATCCCAGAATAATGAATGTAGTAAAGATATTATTGCAGCCCATTAAGAATTTGGATGGACTACTGTTTTGGACCATCATCCTTATGATCTTCACCTGGCACTGTTTGTCAGTGGTCTTAATGAGCAATCTGAGGATTCACTGCAACCCCTTTTCATACACTTGCTGGTTAGACACAGTAGGGGCGAGCTCGCCCTCTTATATGCTTGCGACGCCAAATCACACTTAGGGTTCTCATTTCTTACATGGGCCAGCTGTGGTTGAAACTTTAATTTGTTTAATGTTTTCATAGAAAATGTTATAGTTATTTATATGGTTTAAAGATAGTAAACTACATTTAATGTAGTTCAAGTTACTCATATGTATTTTTTTACAGCTTGTTGAAGAGACTCTTGGGTTTTTTCCCTACAGGGACCCTTACATAATAGCTGTGAGGTCAGTTACCCTGACATCTGTGCCACCTTCTCCAAACTATCGTAGAAATGAAATCCTATGTGCAGGATTCCTGATCCATAGTGATGGCAAAGACTCCTGTATGGTAAGCAGCTTTACAAATCACAATGGTATCTGCTGTCCCTCAAATATTACATGTGCATCATCTCATTGAAGTGCACTATCTGAAATAGGCCAGTGACACAAAGGAATCACTTTATTTCCTAATTTGCTTAAACACTTGAATTCCTGTGGATATTAAATTATAAGCATTACACTGACTTTGAGAGTAAGGAATGTCTGTGTTCACTTTGAAGGGAAGGTTACTATATAAGAACATATACTTATGAAAATGTTTGGGTACCCTAACTGGACTAAGGCGCCTTTATTCTGCCAACATTTGTGTTACTAAAACAAAGGTATTTAATGAGTTAGAGATGATGGAACAAATTCTGCTCTCTGCTATGCTGCTGTATACATTTAGCACATGCTTGAGCAGTTAGCTGATGTGGGGACATTAATATCACTAACATATTTTTAAAAGGTGATTATTTTCCAGTTAATATTGCCTTTACAGTGCTTTTATTTTTAGTATTAAAATACTCTGAGGGACTGATGCTGATATGGGTTCTGAGAAAATGACCCCCAAGTTTTGAGTTTTTCAATTTTAATTTGTTACTCCAGGTGTCTTACTTTAACCAAGTTACCTCTGGTGTTCTGCCTTACCTTGCTGCAAATCTCATTGGCTCATCAAAATCCATTGAGGATACTGCTTCTGCATGCATCAAGTTCTTGGAGATGGACAGTACCAAGATTGACAGTATTTTGTTTTAAGTAAAATATCAGGGAAGCTCTAAAGATTATCAGAAAACATTTTTAAGTGCCGCATGCAAACATGAGGCTTCTCAATATCTATATCATCTACTACAGTAGTTCTCAACCAGGAGTCTGGGCCACCAGCAAGTTTTTTGGGGGGGGCCGCCAAGCAGGGCCAACATTAGACTCACTGGGGCCCAGGGCAAAAAGCCAAAGCCCCTGCCATACAGGGCTGAAGTGTGGGGCCCTGCCACCCGAGAGTGAAGCCAAAGCTCGAGCAACTTAACTTTGCAGGGCCCGCTGTGGTGAAGGGCTCCATGCAATTGCCCTGCTTGCTACCATCTAACGCCATCCCTGGCTTTTATATGCAGAAATCCAGTTATGGCACATGTGGGCCTTGGAGTTTTTATAGCATGTTGGGGTGGGGGGCTCAGAAAGAAAAAGGCTGAAAACCCCTGATCTGCCAGACTGAAATATTTACTTTAAGTCACACAGCTCATTTCAGCCCTTATCTTGAGAGTATCTGAGCACTTGCAATTCCCACTGATTCAGGAATGGATTGATTCATATTTTTAATTTTAAATAGAATGGGGGAAAGTTCTTATTATACCGCTCACTTGAATTTGGTGGAGATGCCAAGGCATAAATGAGGGCATAATTTCTATTACAAATACCATTTTGGAAGGGCCGCTAAACTCAGTTCCAAAAATCTGCTCGGGTCTATAACAATAATAATGAAGCTTACATCCTTTGTAAAGTGCTCTGAGGTCTACCGATGAAAAGTGCTGGGTATTAACATTATGATAGCTTTGAAAAAATATACCAATAAATAACAACGATGAATAAACTATTTTGGCCATGTTAAATTATAGACTTAAAGGAATGATGGTTTCAGAGGCTTTTTGGTCTAAACTGTTTTGAGATTTAAAAAATGGAATACTGCTGGCAGTTAGTCCTTAGTCTGAATTAATACCTTCGGATGGATTTAAAGAATAAAATTTCAGGAATCATGTTGGTGCACCTCAGGATTGCAGTAGAGGCTCATGCTTTGTTGCATTCAGACCTTCTGAGCGGTTAATACCCTATCCAGCATCCACTGAAGTCAATGGAAAAGCTCCCATTGATTTCAACTACAGCTGGATCAAGCCCTAAGAAAACAGGATGTATAAGGTAGTGTTACTGGTACCTCTGTCCCCAGCTCCTCTGTTGCAGGTAGCAGAGATGGGAGGGCAGGGGGCAATACAAAGGAGCTGGTTACTGCTCCCTGATTTTCATCCCAGCTTTATGCCCTGAGCAGTTTTGAGCAGCCATGGGGCGCTCTCATATTGGGCTGGCTCGCAAAAGTCGCCTAAGGAGCTGTCCAGCAGCTTGGGATAGCCAGAACACATAGTACTTGAGCCACACCCCCTCCGCAGCCCCTATGTTGACAGCTGTAGGAGCATCTGGCATTGGTGCCAGTGACATCAGCTCTGTGCCTGCTGGGATCTTCTCCCTGCTGAGAAAACACAACCAGTTTCCACCCCATTTTGCACTATGGAACAGGAGTTAGGCTCTGGTCTCCTAACACTAATTCAGACTGCTTTACAGTCACGAAGACTCCTTTAGGCCTCTTTATAGCCACTCCACCGACATATGAGAGTTACATTTTCCAAAGTCACCTAGGCCCAGCTCCTCAAAAGTATTTAGGCACCTAACTCACTAGCCTTGAGAATATAGGCCCCAGTGACTTTTGAAAAATCAGATTGAGATGCCCTCAAAAATGTTACCCTTAGGCTCATCATCAGTCATTTGGGTGGTTTTATTCGCGCCCCCTCTCCTCCCCCCCACACACCTGTTCCACTAATTTAGACCCCCCTTGCACAGTGATAGAGGATGTAAGGAGTCTACCTGAGTGCGAGACACCAAGGCACCACTATAGCATCTAGCTGTGGGTAGTTGTCTAAAAATGACCTATGGGAAGCAAAAACATGGTTGGGAAATCACACAGAACGGAGGGGAAACTTGCAGGGAAGAGGAAGGAACCACTCCACTCTCCCTCCAAAAATCCCAGGTGAACCACGAGGGGCTTCTTTAATGCAAAAATTTGGATCTAAGTGTTGAGTCGAAGCAGTGTCCCAGGAACCCTTTGCACTGACTATGCAAAAGCCAAAAAGGCCCCAGCAACTTATGGGTCCCAGTCCAGTACAGTTACCCTGAATCTCAGGCAGAGAATCTGCACAATCCAGTGTTTCTAGGGGTTCTTTAGTTCTTGCATAGATGTTTCCCACTGATACTGTCAGGTTGGTCCACAGCTGCCTAAGCATTTGGTGACTTTACACACCAGTCACCCCTGCCTTAAGCAGGTATAACTCTACAGACCACAGAGGAATTGTTCCAACTTGCATCAGAAGTGAAATAGATCCGTAAACATCCAGTAGTGTTGCCTGTCGGTTAGGGTTACACTGCTCACTTTCTTACTTTACTTAAAAACAGCCACAGAGAAGTGCTCCCGACACGCTGAAGCACTGATTGAAAACTAACATTGGTTACTTATTCTAATTTTGTATTTGCCTGGTGTATAATATAGTGGGAGTGCTCAATTACTAATGAGGAGTGGGAGGGAGAGAGGATGCAGTTTTGTGCTTCAGCCACATTACACCAGAGATGCTTCTGCAAAACGTTTGCATGGCCCCACGCTGGTGAATTCTCCCAGCACAGCTCCCTATAAGGTGCCAAGTCAGCTCTATGATGCCCATCACCTTCTAGATATCGCTGGTGAAGGAATGGGCCTGGAGGGACATGTTGGGAATGTGAGTAGATATAGCCAGAGCAGTGCCGTGTCCTTCCCCACTACTGAAACACTCATGGGGACTATGGCAGCAGGGAGCACATATCTGGGCAATCCTCAGGCTGCTTTAGCAGCTCCTTGCATAGGGGATGTATAAAGTTCGGCTACACACTATCTACTTCCAGTACATTTGTAATGTTCTCTCTCAGATGCCACTCCCCACTCCGTACTGTAAACCAAATACCGATGTACCTGCTGAAATCTCAGTCAAAGCTTTAAAAGATTCAACCTAGTATTTATTCTGTGCTTTCCCTCCCCTGTTAGGTTTCTGTAGTTAATCGCTATAAGGCATCAGGCAGTCAGGTGGTTCCTGGTATTTACTTCCATTTTGGGTTTGTTTGTTTTCTTTGGCTTTTGTAAACCATATTTATGTACTTTTTGAAAGCTGTTGACCCATTGATAAGCCAGATGCATACACATTTATTTCCTAAAGTCCAGAGAGACTTAGTCCAAAGATGCATTAAAAGGAAAAAGAAAAGGAGTACTAGGTGCCACTAGTACTCCTTTTCTTTTTGCGAATACAGACTAACACAGCTGCTACTCTGAAACCTGTCATTAAAAGGAAAGCTATTCTGTGGAAGAAGACAACCAGAACCAGGGAAATCATTAGGAAAAATGCAACTACCATTATAGAAAATTCAAACTTTTAATATATTTTATAAAAATAGTTAATTTGAAGCAAAATGTATAAATAAGGAAGCATTTAAACAATAAGTTCGTGTATTCGGATTTACCACAAGAAACCGTACATTCCAAGGCAGCAATAAGCCATGACTTGGCCCAAAAGAGCCTGCTAAACCATGCCATCTTTCAAAGCGCATGAAGATCACCTTAAGAAGGGTCATAACACATTCATAAAAGGACATGTTAAAATAGGAAGTTAAGTGAACATCTTGATCACTACATAATTATCCTTCAAAGATTAACTATGACAAAGCTACTTTAAAGTTTAGTACAGGGTCTCATAATTAGAGTTCTAAATCAAACTTTAAGATTTTGATGAGAGGGGGATCCTTGACACCCTCTAAGGTGCACAGAACTACTTTGTCTGTAAATGCTTTAGCAATTCAGATTTAATACTGAATGCATCAAATCAGTCTTGGCACCCATAGTACACCACTGAAAAGCCAAATTTCTCATTCAGATACATTTTGTGGCTCTAGACCCACCATTTTGGGGTGGCTTCTAGAAGTTTTGCAGTAGAGTATAACTGACTATCCAAGTGTTACCGGGGACAGTAAGTGAAGCTGCATAATTGAGGTTTCATATGTGTTGGCCTTTTTTTGTTTTAATTTTTTTTTTGCTGAAGGGATGTGTTCATAAACAATACTTTAAGGAGACTGTGCTGAACACAAGCAGACCTGTAGGGGTGAGAATAGTTGGTACACGGAGTACTGCAGCCCAGATCCCCAATCTAAGAGTGGGAGAATCGTGCCATTCCACCCTGAGAGAGTTGAAAGCATGAAGTCTGAGATTTAATGAGCACATTTAGAGAGACTGGAGAGGGGCCAGTAGTGCAGTTAGCCCTGAACCATAGCTATGAACCAGCATTTTTAAAAAACCATTTGTTTGCTGTATTACCTTTTCTCCCCAGGACACCTTCATTTAAGCATTGTTTAGGTTTTTAAGTGATCACCATTTAAGGCTGGCGGGGGAGGGGGTTTGTAGAAAATTGTGAATACCCAGAAAGTCATGCGATCCACCTGGTTTATTGAAGCCAGAATCAATGTAAGTAGGTGTCAGTGGAGTTATGCCCACTATGCTAGGGCTGAATTTGGCCTAAGGAACCCAGCTTTTTCTTTCAGTTGTATAAGCCAGTGACCACTCAGAAGACAAATGATGTTTAATATAGTCTGACAGCCAAGAGCAGTTATCAAAAATTAACAACTTTTGGTACTTTTACTTTTGGTTTTTGTGGTTTAGGGCTCTCTAGAATTTCTTCGTAATCTGCACTCATTCCACAGGACCATCGACCAACTGTTACTGCTTGATCTGTGAAGCAAGAGAGGCAAAATAGATTATGTAAAACTCCATTGTTTATATCCAAGATTTTCACTTTGAACGGTCTTGTGGCTAAACCACTGGGCGACATCGTCTCAGTCAGGATGTCTTGCATTTTAATTCTAGCTCTGACAAACTCTCCACGTCCTTAGGCAAGTTGTTTAACCTCTATTCTGCAAACTCAGCTATCTCCCAAAGCATTATTAGGGTTCAGTAAATATTGTAACTTTAAAAAAAACCCAAAACATGGAAAACGCTATATAAGGGTATGTTTTCTCAGCAGGGAACTCACCAAGATTCTCAAATTAGGCCCTCACCTATCATCACCAAAGTGGGTTAACTATAATACTTTCTGTCCCCTCCAACACCTTCCACAAAGGCCTCATTGTAATTAACCAACATTAAATAAGCCTTAGCACGCCTAGAGAGTAGGTAAATATCATCCCCATTGTATAGATTGGGATATTAAGGCAGAATGATCTGCCAATGGTCATGCAAGAAGTTTGTGGCACGGCTGATCTCTTGACTCTTTTTAATTATGAAGCATCTTTCCACACTTTACTCCATTCAATACCAGTTAACATACCCCTCCTAAACACGTAGCACATTGGCATGCTATATTTCTCTTCTGTACAGCAGTTCAATTTTTGGAGGCCAGCTAGTCAGAATGTGCTGAAAATATTACATGGACACGTTAGTTATCAGTAACCTATACTAATTTCAGCGCATATGTGGCAGTTCCAGTGCCTAAAACAAGTAACAGCCAGCTCTGGCATACTCTAACTGCATCTGAATAAGAGTCACCAGGGGAAATGGTGTGTGTTTTAGTAACTGATTGACAGAGCCAGATTGAGAGAGCCAGAAGAGTACCCAGAAGTCACTTACTACAGGACAGGCCCAACAAAGAAAATAACAGAACGCCACTAGCCATCACCTTCAGCCCCCAACTAAAACCTCTCCAATGTATCATCAAGGATCTACAACCTATCCTGAAGGACGACCCAACACTCTCACAAATCTTGGGAGACAGGTCAGTCCTCGCTTACAGACAGCCCCCCAACCTGAAGCAAATACTCACCAGCAACCACACACCACACAACAGAACCACTAACCCAGGAACCTCTCCTTGCAACAAAGCCCGTTGCCAACTGTGCCCACATATCTATTCAAGAGTACTTGTGGCACCTTAGAGACTAACCAATTTATTTGAGCATAAGCTTTCGTGAGCGACAGCTCACTTCATCGGATGCAAGTGAGCTGTCGCTCACGAAAGCGTATGCTCAAATAAACTGGTTAGTCTCTAAGGTGTCACAAGTACTCCTTTTCTTTTTGCGAATACAGACTAACATGGCTGTTACTCTGAAACATATCTATTCAGGGGATACCATCATAGGGCCTAATCCCATCAGCCACACTATCAGAGGCTCGTTCACCTGCACATCTACCAATGTGATTTATGCCATCATGTGCCTGCAATGCCCCTCTGCCATGTACATTGGGCAAACTGGACAGTCTCTACGTAAAAGAATAAATGGACACAAATCAGATGTCAAGAATTATAACATTCATAAACCAGTCGGAGAACACTTCAATCTCTCTGGTCACTCGATTTCTGATCTCAAAGTGACTATCCTTCAACAAAAAAACTTCTAAAACAGACTCCAATGAGAGACTGCTGAATTGGAATTAATTTGCAAATTGGATACAATTAACTTAGTCTTGAATAGAGACTGGGAGTGGTTGAGTCATTATACTAAGTAAAACTATTTCCCCTTGTTTATTCCTCCCCCCACTGTTCCTCAGACGTTCTTGTTAACTCCTGGAAATGTGCTGGAAATGGCCCACCTTGATTATCACTTCAAAAGGTTTTCTCTCCCCCCGGCCCCACTCTCCTGCTGGTAATAGCTCATCTTAAGTGATCACTCTCCTTACAATGTGTATTTTTTCATGGTCTGTGTGTAAAATAAAATCTCCTCACTGTACTTCCCACTTTATGCATCCAATGAAGTGAGCTGTCGCTCACGAAAGCTTATGCTCAAATAAATTGGTTAGTCTCTAAGGTGCCACAAGTATTCCTTTTCTTTTAGTAACTGACTGTAACCCTAAGTCTTGGGAGTATCGGTTATCTTAATTTATCCCCACTCACAAAGAGTACTTTGCACATTGCAAACTGATTACCAAATTTTCTCTTTTCATTCTTATCCACAGCATATCATTATAGATTCAATGAATTCTAAAGTTTTGTAAGCAGCAGTGCTTGTTTTTAAATATCAGTGTTAGTTTTAACAGGTCTCCTGTGAAATTACACAGCATCTAACTGTCAGTCTTCATTATGGATGTGTTTTCCAACCATGGAGAATTCCAGCTTTGTGTGTGTGTGTGTGTGTATATATATATATATATATATAAATATATATATATAAAATTTAGTCTCCTGAGAGAGATCCACATTTTTTTAGATTGGGATATGCAGTGTACTTCTGCAAACAAAATGGTATTTGTCAGTTGCCATTAAGTATCTCACAGAAGCTATACATTTCAAGGTGTAGGCATCTGATCACTAAACCTTTGACTCTCATATCTCCTGCAGTATAGGAACTGCATGGAGTAAGCACACTGTTTAGTGATGCTCTCCTGCCTTCTCACATACATGAATACCAACACTGCTAAATGAAAACCACATTCATCAACTAAAGGCTGCCACTCACACAGTGACAGTCTGTCATTCACAAGGGTTTGCAGAGCACTGCTGTTGATTTCACTACAAAATTCCTTCTCTCCTATTGAAACTTCTCCAATTTCCACTTGTGTGCCAGCCTGACAGAAAGTTTGTGTTTTTTCATGGTATATAAAAAATGGTTACTTAAATAAAGTAACACAAGACTATGGCCCACATGAGTCCATGTTGTAGCGGATACGACCACCTTGGTCAGAATGTCTGAACAGTACCCAGCCATTAGGGCCGCCCATGTACCCTGCCTACGGCCTCAGGACTCCCCCCTGAAGAGTCATACTGCAGAACAACTACATAAAAGAAGAACTTACCGCTGAGGCACTGGACACCAGGAGTCTGACATCAGGGCTCCAGAGGAAGAGCCCATCAACCCACAAACTCGTGATATCAGTATGGGCAATGTAGTGGTGCTCAGTGTCAAGGCATCAACACCAGCAGTACCAAAGAGTGTCCAGACACCAATGCCGTGACACCCCTGATAGGCATGGTATCTAGGGGAGTCCTGTATTCTACTGGGCCATAGGACACACTCACAACCCCCTCTAAGATGATCTGGGCTAGAACAGTAACTAGGAATGTAATCCTCCTGTGTCATCACTGATCCAATGCCACTACAAGAGGGGCACTACTTGAAGTGGGTAGACTGGGCTTTGGCCACCTTAGATAAGGTCCACAAGAGTGTGGGAATTGCTCAGCATTGAAACTAACTATCCAATGGGACTAAAAATCCTAACACTAGCTGACCATCCCACAAACAAAAACAATAATGACCTGAAATATACCAAGGAGTTCCTCTATTCAGTACTTACGGTGATCAAAAGGAACAGCAAAGCAATCACAACTGCAATATAATAGACCCTGACGTGGGGTAGAGAAACACACAAGGGCATGGACATGGGGTATACGCAGCCCCAATATACACAGCTATTCAGAAGTTTCAAGCTGCATTCCCAAGTCCTGTGCATCACTCACAGTGGGGCTCCAGG